GCCCGACAGAGAACCCACTTGGGGCCCGACAGAGAACCCACTTGGGGCCCGACAGAGAACCCACTTGGGGCCCGACAGAGAACCCACTTGGAGCCTGACAGAGAACCCACTTGGAGCCCGACAGAGAACCCACCCCGCGCCCAACCTTTCATGGAGAAAATTGAACACCAGGCGACAAAAATAATTGCAGAATGAGGTCTAGTTTCATACTATGAACGGTTGAGGGTCACAGGGCTAACAACACTGCAAACTAGGCATGCCAGGATGGATCTCACCGAAACTATTAAAATATCGACTTGAATCGACTTGAGAATAGTCCAGGACGGACCGAAACTCGTCGTCCCTTCAACTTCTAGTGTGTGGTCTGGTCAACATACTTCAGCCACGTTATTGTGACTCATCGCCTGCCTATTAAAATATTGAACAGTTTCGAAGATATGGATCCAGAGAACAACTTCAAAAGGTCAGATGGAACACAAACAAGGAACAACGGTTTCAAGTTCAACAAGCCGCAGTGTAGGACTGAAAACATAAGCTATATTTTCACCCACAGGGTTATAAACCCATGGAACCGCCTATCTGCTAAAGCAGTAAATAACATAATACTTGAATTGTAAAATCCAATTTGAAAAAAAATCGGAACAAATGGGGGACCTGATCTGCTACCAGAAATTTTAGCCAAATATCCCCAGTCTGCTAACTGTAGGTAGTAACCGAGTGATTGTAACCTATCCACCGCTGCCCACTGGATGGGGGCGGTGTGCAGGACAAACATAAATTGTGACACTAGCTCTCCACATATGTCAGGTGCTTAATTTAGAACCTGTACTTGAGGTCGATCTCGAACCCATTGTTGATGTGACGACTTATATTGAATTTTGTAACTAGCACATCAAGATTGTAACTTGCTTAGCTAAATGAATTGTGGGGTTCAGTCCCTGAGCCCATTATGTGCCTCTGTAACCCTTTCCACTACCGCCCAGCAGAGGTACAACAGGTACTCAGAGAGAACTATCAACATCAGAGGCCCGAGACTGTTCAACACGCTTCCACTATACATAAGGGGCATAACTGGCCGACCCCTCACAGTGTTCAAGAGAGAACTGGATAAGCACCTCCAAAGGATACCTGATCAACCAGGCTGTGACGCATACGTCAGGCTGCGAGCAGCCGCGTCCAACAGCCTGGTTGATCAGTCCAGCAACCAGGACCATCCATCACAATGGTTGTACTCTTCAAGTCACTTGTGTTGTCCCGTCTTGAGTACTGCTCAGTACTCACTTCCCCCTTCAGAGCAGGAGAGATTGCTGAAATAGAGGGAATACAGAGAACATATACGGCACGCATAGACGCAATAAAGCACCTAAATTATTGGGATCGTCTCAAAGCCCTCCAAATGTACTCACTAGAAAGAAGACGAGAGAGATATCAAATAATATACACCTGGAAGATACTGGAGGGCCAAGTACCAAATCTACACAGTAAAATAACAACGTACTGGAGTGAACGACATGGAAGAAAATGTAGAATAGAACCAGTGAAGAGCAGAGGTGCCATAGGCACAATCAGAGAACACTGTATAAACATCAGAGGTCCGCGGTTGTTCAACGTCCTCCCAGCAAGCATAAGAAATATTGCCGGAACAACCGTGGACATTTTCAAGAGGAAACTAGATTTATTCCTCAAAGAAGTGCCGGACCAACCGGGCTGTGGTGGGTATGTGGGCCTGCGGGCCGCTCCAAGCAACAGCCTGGTGGACCAAACTCTCACAAGTCGAGCCTGGCCTCGGGCCGGGCTTGGGGAGTAGAACTCCCAGAACCCCATCAACCAGGTATTGATAGGCATTGTTCGAAGCAAATTCCATACGCGAAACTCCATTATATTATATAATTCTATATACTGTGTATATATAAGATATAAATATGTCAAAAAGAATTATCACTCTTACCTGGAGCAATGTTGCTGATGTCGGAAATCAGCAGTACATGTTGTCGCGTTGGCGGCAGCGACAATACTGACCAGGTGAGCCTTCAACGACCAACCGCCGTTTGAACGCCATTTTGAAATTCCAGGCGTACTACCCGAAAAGTGCGTAACTAGTATTTGCGTGCATTATAGGCCATTCCAAGAAACCTTATTGCTATGAATATCTTGTTATCTAACAAACGAATTATTTATGTTAATATTTTTAGCACATATGTTAAATTAGGCCATTTTTCATTTAGAGGGGGTATATATATATAGCTATTTACATTTTAAGTTTGAAAAATTACCGTACAAAATTGAATGCAAATATAAGATAAGATTTATTTATACAACCCTGTTTGGAAATTAACTCCTTTTACAATGAAATAAGACGCAAATAAGAACTTCAATTGTGTAGTGAATTTATGCATTTTGTTTTGATTAAAAGCTTAGGTAGTACAATGTACTACTTCTACTACTAATACCATATTATATATGAGGGACTACTAAATAAAATTAAAGCACAAGCATGTTCACCTAATATCATTAGCTGACAGGTGAAATAATATGAAAGTCGGAAACTATTTGATTCTCTCTTAGAATTTCTACTAATCCTTTCTTTTGTCGAGACCAATATATGTCAGTGACCCCTCAGATAAATTTCATTTGCAGAAATCAAATTATTCAGACTGTTTCAAAGAAAACGAGTTAGATATACTTTTATATTTTACCTGAATTTACCCGCGTCTGTAGTTTAATGCTGATAAATGTAAAGTTCTGAGGCTAGGTAATGATGATAGAGTTACAAGATACGAGCTTGATGGTGTTGAGATTGCGAAGTCGGATTGCGAAAGGGATCTGGGAGATATGATTAGTAAGAATTTAAAACAAAATGATCAATGCCTGAATGTTCGTAATAAGGCAAATAGAACACTGGGATTTATTAATCGAAGCGTTAGTAACAAGACACCTGGTGTTGTTCTTCAGTTATATCTTGCTCTGGTTAGGTCAAATTTAGATTATGCAGTTCAGTTTTGGTCGCCGTATTATAGAATGGATATAAATTCACTTGAACGTGTCCAGCGTAGGATGACTAAGTTAATTCCCCAAATTAGAAATCTTTCATATGAAGAAAGATTAACAAAGCTTAAGTTGCATTCACTGGAAAGGCGAAGAGTTAGGGGTGACATGATAGAGGTTTACAAGTGGATGAATGGACATAACAAAGGGGATAACAGCCATTACATGCCCTTTCCACTACCACCCACAAGATGGGTATGGGGTGCATAATAAATGAACTAAACTAACTAACTAAAAAAGTATCAACACAAGACAGAACACGAAACAATGGGTATAAATTGGATAAGTTTAGATTTAGGAAAGACTTGGGTAAATACTGGTTCGGTAACAGGGTTGTTGATTTGTGGAACCAATTACCGCGTAACGTGGTGGAGGTGGGGTCCCTCGATTGTTTCAAGCGCGGGTTGGACATGTATATGAGTGGGATTGGGTGGTTATAGATAGGAGCTGCCTCGTATGGGCCAATAGGTCTTCTGCAGTTACCTTGTTCTTATGTTCTTATGATTCACTAACACTAGTGGCCTCGACGAAGACAGGAAGCCGCTTCTTGTTAGAAGCCGGCGGCCTGTCAAAGGTCCCCCCATTTATTTTGATGATTTTTTTCACGCTAGATCTTAAAATTCAACAGTGTTTTGACATTTACGGCTTCGGCGGGTAGGTAGTTCCATGGGTTTATAACCCTGTGGGTTAAAAAGCAGCTCCTGTTTTCAGACCTACATTGAGGTTTGTTAAGCTTGAAACCGTTGTTCCTTGTTTGTGTTGCATCTGACATCTTGAAGAAGTTGTCTGGTTCAACATCCTCCAAATTATTCAGTGTTTTAAACGTTTCGGTGAAATCCGCTCTGTCATGCGTGGTTTGCAGTGTGGTTATACCATCTTGTATATAAATAAATAAGCAAATAAGGTTAGCTCTGTGGCCCTTAACCATTCTTGGTATGAGAGTTGACTTAGTTCTGGGATATTTATATCGGCCGGTGTTGAACTTTCTTCGGTGAAACTATATCTTAAAATAAAAAATAAAAAAATAAAATAAAATAAAATGTTTATTTAGGTAAGGTACATACATACAATAAATTTTTACAAAGAATGGTTGACTTATAGGTAGAGCTAGTACATGCAATGCCTAAAGCCACTATTACGCAAAGCGTTTCGGGCATGATAAACTTAAATGACAAGCACTCCCCAGCTGATGCCGCTCTGGCCCACCTCTGACATTTAAATAGTAAATAACACTTTTTGAGCTGTGAGGAGCTTTTTTTGAGCTTTATTTCTCAATGGGAATAAAATAATTGTATTTGTGACACAAGCTCTCCACATATGTCAGTTGCTTAATTTAGACACTGTACTTGTGATAGGTCTCGAGCCCATTGTTGATGTGACGATGTTTAGTTTAGTTCATTTATTATGCACCCCATACCCATCTTGTGGGCGGTAGTGGAAAGGGTTACAGCGGCACAGAATGGGCTCAGGGACTGAACCCCACAATTCAAGCCACTATTACGCAAAGCGTTTCGGACAGGAAAAGTGGAACAGAAGTCTTACATTGTGGTTTATTGAGTGTGAAACCGTAGCTTTTCGTTTGTTACATCTGACCTTTTTGAAGAAATTGTCCAGATCAACATCCTCCAAATTGTTCAGTATTTTAAAAGTTTCACCGAGATCCGCCCTGTCATGTTTGATTAACACCGGAGTCATAATGTAGAAAAGTGCAGCGACTTTTATTTTGAGTCACAATCGGGGATCCCGGGCTCAATTCCCGGCCGGGACCAAAATGGTTGGGCACGCTTCCTTTGACCTAATGCATCTGTTCATACATATATATTATATTATATAATATATACATCATATATTACATATCATATATAATATATTTAACTGATAATATATATAATCAGTATATATATATGAAAAATTACTTTATGTACAGAATTAAAAAAAATGAGTGGGAAGGTGGTGGAGGAAGTCGAGGGTTAACCAGTGTTGTGGTCGAGGCTGGCGAGTCACCACCTCCAGCACCTTGTGTTACTCTCACCACTATAGCCTCACACCACACCCTCACGCCTCACACCTCCTCCTCGAGGTGCTCCTATAGTAGTGATGCCGGCTTTTCAGGGTGAGTGTGAGGAGGACCTCCCTGACAAGGTGCAGGCCTGCTGCCCCTCCCCAGCCTATAGGGGCACACACCCGCCCTGTTGGGCATGGCCCTTTAGACTCAAGAGTGGTTTAGTGGTAGAATTGTTCAGTTCTGACATAATAAAGCCGCTTGGCATCAATCTGTTTTAATACTGTGGGGAAGAGATCAGGGAATGGCACTGTGGTGGGGTGTTTTGACAGACGTGAGCCTCATGGTTTTTACCGGTCAACTACATGTTTCCATTCATATTTGTTAGGTTGCTTTAAAACAAAGTTTGTGGAAACTAACGAAATTTAGCATGAATTTGAGAAAAGTATAATTAAAGTTCTTAAATCTGATCTGTCTGTTTTGATAAAATTATCTGATTGCTGGTCTCTTCATAAAGCCAACAAGGCAATATCAAGTGAAAAAATACATGCTATATATTTATGGCACTTAACTGAATGATGGAAACATGTATACCTGTACTTTTAACATTTAATCGAATGGTAAACATGTACTTTTAGATCAGCGGTCTTATTTGCCAAACAATAAGTTCAGCATACCAATGTATGTACATTACATAATATACTATATACATAAGAGTATGTACATAGTTATGTTGAACACAGCGTTTGGCAAATAGGACCATTCATCGGTGCAATTAGAAATGTTGAAAAGTACATGTTTTGTACCATTCAATTAAATGTTAAAAGTACACACTTATCATTCAATTAAGTGGTATAAATAAGTATTTTTTTACATTGTCTTCCTGTTTTTGGAGGGTGTTGGGGCGCAAATGCAGTGTTAGGTCAGGTTTTACGGTATTTGGTTAGCTTGATCGGATACAGATACATGTCTTGGGGCCAAGTACTGCATACAGTATGATACAAGTCACATCGTACACAAGACGATTCGCCAATGAATTTTGAAACCTACCTCAACCCAACCTAACAACCCAAACCAGCCTAACCTAACCCAACCAAGCCCAATGCAGTTTAACCCAAACTAAGACATCCTAGCATAAAAATATACAGCATACAGTTTTAACAAACGGAAAATTAGCGTTATTTAATCATTGCGTGTCCAAAGCGACCATACCCATTGTGAGGACATGTTACAGTCATGGGACATAGTACAATGTCCCATGATCTTGTATCCACACACAGTTCATGCAACTTGTGATGGGTTTGCAGTACTTGCTTATATTTTGTTGTTAGACAAATTTCTTTAAAGCATTTTGAAGAGAAAATGTGAGAATTAGTCAATAGTCCTTAATCTAATTGAAATAACACTGAATTATTAGGCCTATAATGCTCATGCAGTGCGATAGATTTTACAATCTAAATTAGTGTTGAAGCTTACGAACAGGATGAGGGAGTATGATTTTATTTGGGTCCCAAGATTAGTTGTGTAATATCATCAGTGTTCTTTAAACAAACCGAACCCAAAGAAAATAAAGATTTTCCACTTCTATCTTCTGTTGTATAACATTCAAGGTTCCTTTCCTGAGCTTTTCTTCTACGTTATTCACGTTGGTGAGTCCACCTTTCTCGGTAAATCATGGGATAGTCCTCCACAGTATCGTCAGATTCAAAACACCCCTTCTACTCTCCAGCAACATGATGGCTGGTTTCCCCTAAAGGCTTTAACTATAACAAGCCTGATCATAGAGGACAGACGGGTGTTGATTCCACCTCGTAACTCGATAAATTCCATCCTGTGTTATGTTGGTCCAATGACCAATACTTCACTGGTTATCAGACAAATCAGACTCCACCGACTCGGCTCACTTATTCCCACTGCAGCAAGTCCTGAGTTCAGGACTGCCCTGGGTGAACTGATTGTTGTCAACCAAGGCACCCTCCACATCACTTCTGTGGAGTAAAAATTATGTACAGTAGTAAGAAGGAAACTACACGGGTGTCAGTAAGATCACAGCCTTCTATCGGGGAACAGAAAATGGGGTCGGGTTCACTCAACAGATGCCACTGACGTCGTCACAGTAGGATTTAACCATAATCAGTTTCTTTGCCATTCAAATGAACGACTGTTTTCAGTAGAAAATACAGTACATGTAACTGAAACCAATGAGCATATGTGTAGTGACATTTAAAGAACTGACTTTAGATGTGAAAATTTATAATGTCCATGTGAAATGCATTTGTAATTTAAGAATCCTTTTTCTGTTCCTTACAGTAAAAGTAAAATGGGGAAAGGAGTTGTATCCAGATATTGAATTGGATACAGGTGAACCCCCTATGGTTTTCAGGGCTCAATTGTTTGCCTTAACTGGTGTTCAGCCACAGCGCCAAAAGATTATGCTCAAGGGTGCCACCATCAAAGAAGATACTTGGGATGGACTCAAGATTAAGAATGTAAGTACAGTATTCAATAATGTAATTCAAGTTGATGTATTGTAGACTTCATTCATTATCGCTGTGGCATTTAGATGCATGCTTCAAAGTGCAATTTTTGCTGCTTGAATTTCTTACTTCAATTTGCATACAGTATAGACAAGCTCACTTTTGCAGTCTTAAGAAATATATATAAATTAATTATTAAAATATTGTTTTTGTTGATCTTTTTTTTTAAGAATGATTTTTGATTTGTTCATTTGTTGTTCATATGTTGAACATAGGTATGTTGTACACTACAGGTTTGCCTGTAGTGTACATTATTTAACTTCAATTTTGTTATACAGTATTAAGATGTCTCATCAATATAGTTAGTCTTCTGTACATCCAAGTAAACTTCTCTATATCTTTAGGGAGTGACCATTTTAATGATGGGAAGCAAAGAGGAGGATGTTCCTGTTGAACCAACGGAGAAAACTGCTTTTATTGAAGATATGTCAGAAGCCGAACGTAATACTATGGTAAGTACTTTATAGTACTGCTCATTATAGAAGCCTCACGACTTGTTTAATGCAGTGTCATATCGGAGAACAATAACACTACTCTGTTCTTAAATTTCATAGATATTTTTTGTGTTGAATATATTTCCATTGCTGAAGATAATTTTTAAACATATGTGTGTTCTCATGGTTCAATAGAAAAACAAAGGGTAAAGTCCTGTATAAATACTCTAATGCCTAGAGGATTTGATAAAATTAAAAATAAACCCCACAAATATTTTATATTGAAATAAAAGGTGTTATATTTAATTTGCTTTATTTTGTTTTTAAGTAGATGAAAGATTTTAATAATGCACTTGTACATTATAGAGAAACCAAAAACAAGCCAGTTCTTGGGCAATAAAACAGTGTCTCCAAATCTTCCAAAATTAACTCCAAAACATAGGCTGGTCATGCATATTAATACAGTATTATAATTTTAATTTACAGTAGCTCCCAAGAAATGGTCATTAAACATGGGGACGGCCGATTCCGGTTCTTGGCCATGGTTAGGGCCGTCCAAATCAGTCTTGTCAGTTGGAAATGTCACAAACAGTGCCACCTTATCCAATAATATTAAAAAATGTAAAGCTGATATATTCAACTTATGATTATTATTTCATTATTATTAACACAAGTTGCTTTATTATTTCAGTTGCAACTACCAGTGGGTATTAAAAATCTAGGCAACACCTGTTACCTTAATGCTGTTGTACAGTGCCTCAAAACAGTTCCTGAACTTCATACGTCAATTAAAGAATTCAAACCAAAACGTAAGTAAAATTTCAGCTGATGGTTTTTGATCTGGCATTTGGATATTTTAATTTTCATCCAGAAAGAAAGAGTTGTATATTCCAACAAAATTTGCTAAACTTCTATATGTTATTCTTTAATCCTTATTTTTAAGATGCTGTATTTGTGTTTATGGTGCAAGATGGGTGGAGTTTGTAATGTCATTCAGCATAGTACAATGCTTATTAATCAGATCTATATACTCTGGTTAATTTCTTTATGCATTACAGTATTGTATACAGAAATGCAATAAATTAAAACACACACATCTCCCCAATTTTTATTTTTTATGTTTATTCTCGAAAGTAATAAACATTCTCCAATATTTCATGTCCAACACACTCCCTCATTTGTTAATATGATGCAAATTTGTTCGTTATTTATTGTTCCTGGCATTACAAAACTGTGTAATATTTCTTAAATCAACAGTCTACACTTAAAATAAATTAATGTGTAAATAACCAAGGGAGGGAGGTGGCATATTCATGCCGTTACTGGGCCACTCGGCACACACACCTCTCACTTGGGAAGGGAACCATCAGGAGAAAGCATGAAGCCTTTATGACTATATAACTCCTGGAAGGGATCAGGATAAGGATTTCTCACTTGGGGAAAAAATGGCCAAAAATCTAAATGTCAAATTTGTTAATATTCTTTCATTAATAAACAATCTAGTTCCCCCTATTTTGCAAATTAAATAAATTAAGATAGCTTTGATGGGCAAACTTTGTTTTACTGAAACGTGTGCAAATTTCAATTGTTTAACTGACCTGAGTGGAGCTCTTGATATTCCAAAAGATCTTCAGAGTTGAACCAGAACAGATACCAGATATAAGGAGAGGACACTAATCATAAAGAGGGGTAACCAAAGCATCTGAAATGGATACTTCAAAGGCAGTGAAACGTTTCTTCGTGGATATTAAATGCAGCTGAGAGAGGGATCCAATGCAATCTTTTAGTAAAGGTCTATGATTCCATTCTTGAATCAGGAGAGCTATCACAGCTGGAAGTTGGCGAATGTTGTAATGCCATTATTCAAGAAAGGAGGCAGGGTGGTGGTGGTAAAATACTGGCCAATATAAATGGCAAGGTGGTAGGAGAAAATGTTCAGCATAGATTTGGGAAAACCTGTTTAATCTAATACTCATCCTATTTTAGAATTCTAAGACAAGAAAAGGGGAAAGTATGGGTTAACTGTATACATTTAGAGTTCCAAAAAGCCTTTAATACTTTTCTACTCAAAACACAATCAAGATGCTCAAATAAGCTCGGGCATCTGGCAGAGTACAAAACTCGTTATGAGAATATTGAATATACAACGCGGTTGTGTTGAGGAATTGTAATGAGGAGGTTACTATTTGGGTTCAACTATTTGGGTATCAGTCTAAGCTGATAATTCAGAGCCAGTAAAGGAGAATAAGGACAGGATTGAAAATACTGAAAATATGAACACGCTAATAGTTTGTTCATTTGTTGTATGTATTTAAAAAAATATTAACATTTTTTATTTCCAGGGTCAAGTGGAGATGCAGATTCCTCTGCTTCATCTTCTCTCTTATCATTAGTGGAGGTAGAGTCTGGGTCTTTACTCACCCTAGCTATACAAGATTGTTACCGCACCATGGATGCTGGCAAGACTGCTGTTCCTCTTGTTCTTGTTAATCTTTTCCGCTCGACCTTTCCCAGGTAAGTAAATACAGTACAGTACCACAATTTTCCTTTTCATATCATTAAAACTTTTTAATGTGTGATGATATTACTGTGTGCAGATTTGGAACCAGTCCCTTTAATATTTTCCAGGTGTATATTATTATGTATCTCTCACCTATGCTCTAAGGAATACAGATTTAAAAATGTTAATGTCTCAATAATTTAGGCGTTTTATAGAGTGGATTCTAATGGTAAAGTACCTTTGCATGTGGTCTAGGTCAGCAATTTCTTCCGCTTTGAATGGGGCTTATCTTGAGGTTATCTTGATTTCGAGGCTTGGCGTCCCCGTGGCCCGGTCCTTGACCAGTCCTCCTTTTTGTTGCACATCCTCAGGAAGCAGCCTGTAGCAGCTGTCTAACTCCCAGGTACCTATTTACTGCTAGGTGAGCAGTGGCATCAGGGTGAGAGAAATTGCTCATTTTTTTCCGCCTCTGCCAGGGATCGAACCGGAACCTTATGACTACGAATCCTGAGCGCTGACCTCTCAGCCGTCAGGCCCTCTGTTATTGTTCAACAATATTCCACTCTAGTAAAGCACTAGTGTCCTGAAAAACATCATTGATATGGCATCCCTTGTTTGAAAGATTCATGTTATCAATCTTGTCATTTTTCTTGCAGTTGTGACAGTTTTATGTAATGGTAAGGTCTTCTGGCATAATTACTGCTAGAGCCTTTACGTTGCTTTTTCGTTCTATAGTGCCATTGGATTGCATTTTGTGTGTGGTTCCATTTTTATATTTTAATTTTTACCATAGCGCAGGCACTGGAACTTGTCTTCATTAAATATCATATTATCTATGGCCCACTGAAAACCTAATTAAAATCAGATTGGAGGTTTGCTGTGTCCTCTATAGTGTCATCATCCATGAAAATCCTAGTGTCATCTGCAAAGGATGATACAGTACAACAGCTTGTATCTTTCCAATGATTTCTTGCACATTGTCAATTTTAGTCTCATTCTGTTCGTTCATTTCTTGAGCTTGGTAAGGCTTTTTTCAATAACTGGTTTTCTATTACCAGAGGAGCCTGCCGGGTCTCTTGATAAGGTGCATTATATGCCGTGGCCTTATAGCCTCCTTTGGTAATCTTAAGAAATCGCATTATTATATATATTATACATTATATTGTAAAAAACTTTATATATGAATGTTTTTTGTCAATACTGTATATCTTGATACACCTACAGAAGGAATAAGGGGCAGTAATCTCTGTGTAATTTTAAACGGCATTACTTATAAAATTGTTTATTTATATTCCAGATTTGCTGAACAAGGGGAGCAGGGAATGTATATGCAACAAGATGCTTCTGAATGCTGGATACAATTAATGCGTCTCTTGATGCAAGAGGTACCTGCCAAAGACTCTTCAAAGACTTCTAAAAATTTCACGTATGTATAAATTGATTTTAATACTGGCACATTTCCAGTAAAATATTAACAGTGAATTTTCACAATCACTGTTTGGTATGTAAATTTGTGTGTATTTTTGTTAGGTTGAATACTATACGTCTCCTTGCAGGTGGTATTACCAAGACCATAGTGAGTTTTGTCAGGCCTTAATCTGTTTTAAATAAATGTTTAAACAAAAAATGCTGTTTATAGGATTGTTGTAAACAATTTAATTTTATTATTAAAAATGCCAAAAGGTCTGAAATTATTTGTTGTACTACGTACTTATCACCAAAAAATGGAAGGATAAAGCAAGGATTTCCATGCTATCTTCTGGGAATTAAATCACATTAAAGGTCATTGATTTTTGGTAACTTGAGGACTATGGATACTTGATACCCTGAACTAATTGGGACTAACTTGGTTTAGTCCCAATTAAACTTCTAAAAAGGTTTAGACTTTTAGATAAGATTAAAACTAAACTAAAAATATTATCTAGTCTTTAAAATGTGTAGGGTGCATAGGTGTTAGTGTATGTAGGAGCTGGTGTTGATTTTTTAAAATGTACAGTATTCATCTCTTTCAACCTGTCTATTGTCAACCTCTGACAAATTTTAGGCTTTATGTGAATCATTAGCATAAGATTTTAATTTAATATGGAATATTTTTTGTTTAGAATTGGTCTAAGATTCACTTATTGTTTCAGATCTTCTCTTATCGACCAGTTTTTTTGTGGAGAGCATTCCTGTGAGTGGAAGTGTATAGAGAGCGAAGAGGAGGAAGTTACTTACAAAACGGATAACTTTCAGCAGCTCATGTGCCATATTAATCAAGATGTTAAATACTTGCATACAGGACTTGTAGCCAGAATGCAGGTATGTATAACTATTGCATTTTTTGTGCACTACGGTATTAATGCTCTTCTCATTCATATGTAAAAAAAAAAAGTATTTATCACTACTATTAGCTGCAGTGTTGAAATATTGGAACTTTAATTCTGTTGTACCTCACATTTGACTTTTTTTTTTCTGACCTATAATGAGGTCTCTTCTGAACACGTTCATACCAAAATCACTTCTAAGTACACAGTTTCACAAACTGGAAATTATTATAAACCATTTACATTCTGTGAACTGCTCGAATGGACTAACATTCATTTCCATTTTGTCCCAGCTTCAATGTCAGCACAGACTTTACTATTTCTAAAAACATGTGCTTTTTTAACATTCATAACAATAAAACCATACACGATGAAACCACAATAACTTACTATCTATGAGAAAATGTTAAGAGCAAGCTGGTGTGATTGACAGCGCCTCCTGGATCACCTCGGCCTTGACCCAAGACCGAGGTGATCCAGGAGGATCACACTATGGTAACACTGCTAAAAAGCTGCCCAACCTGTAGTCTGCCAGTCAACAAGAATGCTGGTTTGATCCCACCATAATGCTCCAAAGATTTTTCTTATAAAAAGCCATGTTAAGCCTCTTGGTGGTGGTGGCTGATATGTTCTCTTTAATATACATCACCCTAATATTTCATTACTTTTCTTATTTAAAAAAGAATGCTGGCTGACATATTTAATTGATAAGGTTTAAACCATTTTTATTTTTAAAAGTTATTCAATATCTATTCTTTCTAAAGAAAAATTGAATTTTTTCAGTTTATTTAAGATTCAGCACCATTTATTGATGGCCTGGGAAATATTTCATAACCTGTCATGCTCTATATTGTCTGACTCAGGGCACCACTTGTTTCTCAGTCTTTGCACTCCTTTTAAATTAGAGTATTACTTGCCTCGCATTTAAATGACCGTGCCAAATTGTGTAGATGTGAATTACCCCTGGTGCTCTTTTAATTTTGGTAGTACAAATAAACTATATATAGACTACATGCAAATTTGTGGTTTTGAAATTTTTTAAGCAGTCTAATTAGTTGCTTTCGTAAGGAAAGAATCTTGTTTTGGTATACAGGGCTGTATTCAAGACATTCTGGCTGGTTTGTGAAAAGTGCTAGGGAGGCATTGGAGGAAAGCTCAATCTAGCCCAGAGTGAATACTTTCTTAAATATTTTAAGCTCTCCCAAAACCAAACTTTGTATCACAAGTAACTGCCAAATGAGGCTTCAAAATGGCTCATTGCATGCCTTGTGAAACCAGTTTCACACAGATACTTACCCAGTGTTCTCAACCTTCCCAGATCTCCAGTATCGGCTATTGATATAGATAATGGCTCCAAAGAGCCTCCACTTAAGGGCTCACCATAGCCCATGCTACATGGAAATTTTGTTCCAGTAGCTGAATCTAAAACAACAATTTCTCAGTCCCATCTTGTCTCATTCTCTTAGTTTCCATAAGTGGTTGGCAGGTGGGGCTGTCTTTTAAGTAAAATGATTATTTTCATGCATTGAAATAATTAGTTTTCCTATATGATCTTTTAAGCACTAGCTTTTAGGCTTTGCAAGTCTAGCTTTAGCTATTGGTTCCCCTTTGAGTTTGTCCACTTTATTCATGGTTTGTAGACTTACTCTTGGGATGATTTTTACCCACCTGGCATTTGTTGAAAGATTAACTGAACCCCCCTAGGTCTTACATTGGCAGTGTGAGGTGATTTTAGTGATTGTTGGCATCTCTAGCTTTTTCTTTCCAGCAAGGTCCTAGGGGAGCCGGTCGGCCGAGCGGACAGCACACTGGACTTGTGATCCTGTGGTCCTGGGTTCGATCCCAGGCGCCGACGAGAAACAATGGGCAGAGTTTCTTTCACCCTATGCCCCTGTTACCTAGCAGTAAAATAGGTACCTGGGTGTTAGTCAGCTGTCACAGGCTGCTTCCTGGGGGTGGAGGCCTGGTCGAGGACCGGGCCGCGGGGACACTAAAGCCCCGAAATCATCTCAAGATAACCTCAAGGTGAACAGAATTAGGTTTTTGCCATCCTAGCAATTGCATCTTTGCTTAAGGGTTGGAATTCCTGGGCTTGTCATATAATTTTTAACTTGTTTTGGCTGGGTCATTGTGGCTCTCTAGGAATTTGGTTGGCCTTGAACAAACCATAGACAATGTTCTTTGTACCTTTCATTCTCTTCAGGTGCAGTCCTGTCTTCCCTTTAGTGATAAAAGCTCAGTCACTTGTGATACTGTACCAACTACAGTTGGGCATTGTCCTAGAAATCGGTCTGATGGATGTTCTGGGCTTGATTTAGAATTTATTACAGTGCATCCCTAGCATCTTATTTACACACATTCAAAATTATCTCTTCAGTGTCAGTACTTAAATGATGATTTGACTTCATGAATCCTGTTTTGACAGATTCTTATCTTGGGAGCAACTGAATGTCTCCTCAAAGCTTTTCATAATAATTTACAGCCTCATTTCTTTATCATCAGGAACAAATCACCAAAAGATCAGAACTTTTAGATCGTGATGCAATGTACACTAAAAAATCTAAAATATCCAGATTGCCAGCCTACTTAGTTGTACAAATGGTCAGGTATGGTTTTACAATTTTTGTTCATTAATGATTTCATCATAACTTTGTAGTTAAATTTTATTTAAAAAATATGGTAATAATAATTTATCTATAAAAGTTGGATTTAAGTCTTCAGTACTGTAGTTGTAAGCTAATAATTGAAGGAATATATTAAACTTTTAATGTTATTGATCATTGATATTGAGCTGATTTGTCTCCTGTCTAGGTGCCTGTGTATGTGCTTGAACTTTCCTTGTGGAGACTCACTACATTTTGAAAATATTGCACAGTATTAATTTTTAATCTTTTATTTTTTCAGGTTCTTTTATAAAGAGAAGGGAGCTGTAAATGCCAAAATTCTTAAAGATGTAAAATTTCCAATAATTTTGGATGTATTTGATTTGTGTACTCCAGAATTGCAGAAGAAGCTAACCCCTATTAGAGAGAAATACAAGGTAAGCAATGTGAGGTACATTTCATGTCCTACATTTGTTGGAAGTATATTTAAATTCCCACATTTCTTGAAAGTGTGTTTCACGTCCTATTTGAATAAAAGCCTTATATCAGGGATTAAATAACTAAAGATAAGTTCCTTAAACTGGTATGTCATTAACAATATTGTTTTTGTGATGCTTATTTTACTATACTTCTTGGGGACTTTTTAGTTGGAACCTTTTGGATTGTTCATTTATGTTTGAAATCTTGGTTTTAATTCTGGTTAAATTCAAGGAAAGCATCCGACTCCAGTCATTGTTTCTATTATGTACTACTGGCCTGTATCATTAACATGTATGGGAGAGTTGCCTATATTAATTAATATGGCAGGAGCTGTATAAACTGAGGCAGTCTCATTATGTTGCCATGCCCACTTAAGGTAAATAATGGTATAGTATTACATGATAACTTTGCTGTCAGTTTTAAAATTGATGCTAATCACTTGATGCTCAATAGGTGTGAAAATGTTAGGATTACAATTTAAACATTATTATAAAGTTACAGTAAATGACACAATAGGATGAAGGAAATGTGTATGGAGTTTTTCTTTAAACAAAATTTTTTTCAGGATATGGATGAACGTCAGATAGAAGAGGAGCGGGCCAAAAAGAGAGGCAAGCCTCTTGCTCTAGAAGAGAAACCACGCACGCGTGCGCTGCCCTTTTCCTTCGAAGATGGTTAGTCTTTGTAGTTTTGAATTTGTAATAATGTACAAAGTAAAAGGAATAAAAATAGCTATGAAAAGTATTAATGAAATGTTTCAAAATGTAAATTGAGTAAACATTTTAGTGGCTAAAGTGAGTCTATGAATAGTAGTTTATAAAGGCTGTTGTTTTTCAGTACAATCTTGATTTAAAGGTGGACAGTTGTTAAGGGGCCAGGTGTACAAGTTATCAACCTTCCTCAAACACTCAAAATTTTTGTACATAATCTACATGGTAAATGCTCCAACTTTTCCTAATGGATCAACATCATAACATGAACAGAAAAACAAAAATTAATTTAAAAAAATATTTAACAAATTATACAATTTCAAATTAGACTATCTTATTTAAAGTCATCAATTTTTATTTTATTCATTATTGGCTCGGAATGGCATTTAATATTGGTTTTCTTCTATTTAAAATTTAGCTTGAGAGTATAGTTTACTATAAGGTGTTTTTTTTTAAGAAAAGACTATGGGGTTTGAAGTTAAGATATCTCCATAAATGTATTCCCCATATAGTGTTGGGAGTTAAATGTACATAAGGGCATTGTAGCTGTTTAATGGTTTAAACCATTAACATTTGTAGGGTTACAGTTGTGTTTACTCCATGTTATCAAATCTTAATGTCTCCCATTATGTAATCCAATAGTATCTACTGTAACTAAATTTTGTGTATTTTCCAGATTATGGGAGCAACAATAGTGGGTTTTACAAGTTGCAGGCTGTATTGACTCATCAGGGTCGATCTTCTTCATCTGGTCACTATGTAGCCTGGGTGCGGTGGAAGGGTGACGAGTGGCTCAAATGTGACGATGATGATGTTACATCAGTTACAGAGGAGGAAATCTTAAAGTTGTCTGGGGGAGGTAAGACCTAATGAACAAAACTTGTCAGTAAGGTAAACATTTAATGATATAAATTATTTAACGTTAAGCTGTTAGGTTATATTGTTTTACCACATGGGAGGCAGCTTATAGTAGTCAGGTTATGAGTAATTGTTACCTCTGTTGTCAATAGATGACTCTTGAGCCCATGTTAGCTTATTATTGCTGAAGTAAAATTTAAGTTTTCTTGGGTTTGAATGTAACTGCATATATTGGATAATTTGTTACATGTAAAAATAATTGTGAATTGTCATTATGTAAACCCATGTTTATTATCTTTGTAAATAGTAATTCAATATGGTACAGAATGGGGATTTCTAATATTAGTGAATACATTAGGTTAACTTTAGTATTTTTAGCACTATGAGCATCACATGAATCGCGGTAAAATGTTAAATGTTTTAAACTAGTCTTTTCTAACTTTTTTTATTATTATTCCAACTGTATCAGCTTGTAATGGTTTATTTTCCTTTATATTCTTCCAATAGTTTAAGGTTCTAAATGGTCACTTATAATTTCCATGCAAATGTTATTCTTAATGTTTTATTTGTTTTGTTTTTGTCACTACTAAAATTTATGCTCTTTAGCAAAAAGCTTCAAATCATTTGCCAAAGCTTTAAAGATCTTATTCTTAGTCTTTATCACGTGCATATGCTTTTCCAGATTTTCCTTCAATATATTTTCTAAGTCAATCTTCCTTATCTGTGAATCTGCCTGCCCTGATGCTTTTAAGCTGTTGTTTTCCATTGTTAAGTCAGTTATAATCATTCTTGGCTCACCTCATGTCCATCTTGGTATAGGAACAAAACAATGCATGCATTCAAGTGAGCTGCAGTCTGTCCACTTAGCCTATGGGTTTGCACAAAAGATATGGCATAGAAATAATGTTAGATATTTGCTTAAATTTAATAACCATCATATGAAAGATTTAAAAACAAGTTTGTGCTACTGTCACTTGTGTTTTATTGCTTGTGTCATATATCTTCGATATTGCTCATCTGTAATAATATGGGCCCCATAAACTTTCATTCCTTATCACGCTGCTACCTTAGCATTTGTGTTTGCTTATACTGTACTGTATAAAACTATAGTTGGCATATTTGTTACCCAGGAATTTATAATACAGTACTTTATTAATGATGTTCTTGTTTTGTGATTCTAGGGGACTGGCACTGTGCGTACATTTTATTGTATGGGCCACGAATATTGGAAGTGCCAATTGAGGAAGACAAGAAACCAGTGGAGGGAGACGAGAAACCAGTGGAGGGAGACAAGAAAGCAGCGGAGGAAGCTAAGATGGAGACAGAGTGAGATAGTTACATTAACTAGTTTCTGATCATATCGGTGAGATTGTTGAGGCTGTAAACAATATCGGGTCACTTTGTATTGTTTTGACCAATGCATTGTGATATACGAGGTCATCTTATGGGTTTTGTTTTAATGAATTCTTAAGTTTTGCCCTAGAGTCAACTGATGGCAATGGATTGTCCATCTCAAGAATTCTAAGCTTTAAACTTGCCCTCTGATTTGTTTCCAGAAAGGTAGTTAAAAATGCCTTTTTGTTGTCCCTGTGAAGACTTGATTCCATATGAATTATCTTCAAAGAAGATTTTTTTAAGCAAAATATAATATTAATTTACTATTTAGGAGGCATGTTGTGCTGTCAAGAGGTGGGTTATTGCCTTGTTTTGTACTAATTGTTTGTCTCCCGTCAAAGTGGTTACAATAAATTTTATTAATGCTAAATATTTGTTTTATTATACAAAGTAATGTTAGAAATTACAGTACAGAGCAGTGTTCCCAACTGTTTCACCATAAAGGATTTTGTATTTAAATTTCCCATGGACCACAGTTTTTTAAAGGTCTACCTATTTGACTAGCAGATTTTATTAACTAACAAACTCGTTTTTCCAGCTTTCTCTCAATTGAAAGACGTATATAAGAGTACAGTATACAATTAAATAAATGATAGTATAACAAAAATTGTCTATTGAGATGGCTGATGCTGCTTTGTTGTTGTTGACACTATTCTAAATTTCAGGTTCCATGTTCATCCTGTTAATGTATTATGATTTTATATAAATGGAGTTGGGTATGTAGGGCCAAAAGCTATGTATCAAAGGATTTAACTAGAGTACTGAAGAAGCCTTCTACAACTGCTGGTGTTAAAGATTGTTGTGATGGGCCATAGTGACCAATGCCTAGTGAACAGAGGCAGATTTACAAGAAATGTGTCCAATCTGGAGTTTTAGAGAACATCAGTGAGTATGTTTGCTTAACCTGATGTGGATGTATGTGGTGTACTTGTCTGAATTTACTCGAGGGGTCACCATCCATCTTGTAGCCACGACGATACATGTACATACCGACACATGTAGTACATGGTGTGATGTGTAGAGACGAAGCTGCCTTAACATACGTCATGAGGCGATGTCAGAAGTGATGGATGGCAAGGATCTTTGTTAACTGCTATATTTCTGACCAGCAGGTGATACGTGGGTCGAGAAGAAAGCAATGGGTTACCATCCTCTCCTTATGCAGAACTATTTCCATAGTAGTGGACTAGGAGGCGTGAAATATTGGGTGCCCATCAAGAGGTTGTACTGATGGTGCATGGTGATGGACCAATGGGATGAAACAATGATAGAAATTCATCGTTCAGAGGAGCTTCAACTTCCCTTAATAATAAGTGTGTAATTGTGTTAGTTATATAATTAATTGCAGTTGGCTGTGCTCCATCCTGTAACAAATCTGTTAACCCCTAGTCTACCAATTCTTTTGACATGCTGTTTAGGATGATCTTGTCAAGTAGCTTACATGTGTGTGATAGACTAATTACAGTATTGGCCTGTTATTACCAGGATCTGTGAATGTCAAGACAGTAGTATGCCATTTCAATGTTCATTTTGAAAAAAAAATCAAATGGGGTGGGGGGGACTTGTTTTTTGACCAGCTGACTACCGCCTGTCTCCATCAAGGCTACCAGAGCTGGTGGCTCTAGTAAATTCAGGTAAACTGTGAGGTGGTGTGTGTGTGTGTGTGTATGTATGTATATATATATATATAAGATATAGATATCTATCTCCTAGTAAATATCTGATGATATATAATAGTTTTACTACTAGTAGGCACCTAGTAGCTTTAGGATCTATATCAAGGTAGTGTTCTGAGTGCTACTCTTTCTGGTTGCCCTCAATGGTTTTCTTTCCTCTCTTCCTTCTGGTGTCTTCTACACACTCTACGTCAACGATCATACCCTTTGCTGTCGGGGTGATGATTCGCCTCTCCTTCGACAGTGGCTTCAACTTGCGATTATTGCTGTGTCGTCTTGGGCCACCGATCATGGCTTCCGGTTCTCTATGTTTAAGACTTGTGCGATGACTTTTACTCGGAAGCGTGTCATTCTTCGTCCCTCTTTGTCGCTTTATGGTCATCCCCTTGTGTACAAGGATTCTGCTAAGCTCTTGGGGTTAATCTTTCACACTCGTTTGTCTTGGTTGCCCCATATCTCTTACCTGCGAGTTGAATGCTTTAAAGCCCTTACCCTCCTTAAGGTTTTGTCCCATACTTCTTGGAGAGTGGATAGACGCACTCTCCTCGCTTTACATTCCTCTCTTGTCTTGTCTAAACTCTATGGTTGCCCGCTTACGTGTCTGCTTCTCTTCCTACTCTTCGCCGTCTTGGGGCTTTGCACCATACTGGGTTGCACCTCAGCTCAGGTGCCTTTCGTTCAACTCCCGTCCTCAGCTTGTATGTTGACACTGGCTTCCTATCTCTCCAGGACCTCTGTGATTGCTACTGTCTTTGCTATCTTGCGCAGTGCTTGCAACATCTTTCCTCTCGTCTCTGTCGTGCTTTAACTTTTACCCCTCCTGTGGTTCCTGTTCCTCTTCACCACCACCCTCTTTCTGTCCAGTTATCTCGCTTACTGGATTCTCTTTCAATTTGTATTTCTAATGTATCTCCTCGTGGTGTTCCTTCCTTGCCCCCGTGGAGAGTCCCCCTTCCGAAGTTTTGTACATCCTTAACCCGCATCACTAAAGCTTTTACCCTCCTACGGTTCTGAAACGCCTTTTCCTTGAGAACTTTTCTTCGCACTCCCACTCAGTTTCCATCTTTACCGATGGGTCTAAGTCCGCAGACAGTGTAGGCTACTCTGTTGTTTTTCCTGACAGCACTTATATGTGTCGCCTACCTCCGGAGACTAGCATCTTCACAGCGGAACTTTATGCTATTCTCTATGCTCTTCATCTCCTGTTTTCTCGTTGTCAATCTTCCTTTGTAGTTGTCGTTGACTCTCTTAGTGGCCCTCGTGGCTCTCGGGTCTTTTAATCCGGTCCATCCAGTGGTTGTCGAGATTCGGCATTGGTTGTTTCTTATTTCCAGTAAATTTAGTCGGTTGAGTTTTGTTGGGTTCCCAGCCATATTGGTGTCTCTTTAAATGAGCGTGTGGATGCTGCTGCTAGGGAAGCTGTCCGCTCTTGTCCCATCTCCCGTTAAGGTATTCCTTATTCTGACTTACCCAATTATTTATTCCTCCATCCTTACCCGTTGGTGCGATTGTTGGTCTTCTGTTACTGGTAACAAACTGCGTACTCTTAAGAGTAGTGTGTCCTCATGGCCGTCCTCCTACCACCGTAACTGGCGATGGGAAACGGCTCTGGCGAGGATGTGTATTGGCCATACACCCTTAACTCACGGTCACTTAATGGAGCACCGCCCTGCTCCTTATTGTCCACATTGCATTGTCCCTCTTACAGTTGTGCATATCCTTGTTGAATGTCCTGACTTCCAAGACGAGCCCAATCACTTGGGCTGGATGGTAGAGCGACGGTCTCGCTTCATGCAGGTCGGCGTTCAATCCTCGACCCTCCAAGTGGTTGGGCACCATTTCTTTCCTTATCCTGACCCCCTTCCAAGTGCTATATAGTCGTAATGGCTTGGCGCTTTCCTCTGATAATTAATTCCCTTCCCTTCCTGAGGTTTAAGGTTTTCTTACTGCAATGGTCCTAAGACAGAGCCCTGTGAAACACCATTATCCGCTCCTCTCCAGCCTGCCATGTTTCTGGCTTTGTTTCCTGTCTGTCAAGTACTTCCCTACTCAGGAGAAGGGCTACTCCAATGCCCTTTTCTTGTTATCCCTTCTCATCTCTCCATCTTGTAATTACCTAAGTGTAGTTACAGGATGACGGCCACGCTCGTGGTGTCCCGTCTTCCCAGTAGTGTCATTTGACGCTTGGAAACTACTGACGGTCTTTTGTGAGGAACTTTTGATAAAGTTTTTTTGACAGTTTAAAGGCGTGCCTTTTATAGTACTGTATAGTAGTACAGAACTTGAACTGTTTTTAGGTACCACAGTCCATATTTTGTATAAATTTATTCACTATATAAAGGTTATATCACTTTTGAATGATGGTTTGATATAATAATAACAAATAAAATACACACTAGCGATCGACAACTGTTATACGGGAAAAAGAATAAAGACAAATATTTTAATTAATTGCTGACAATGCCGCCGGCTTCTTGTCCCCGTCGTGACCATTAGATAGATGACGGTCCTCTGGTAAGTTTGGGTAATACATACAGAAGAATATGTATTATAATTTTGGCAACTTGTATATCGGGCACCTACGCGTTAATCTGTCTTCCCCACTGCCTACATGCAACTGGTCTACTGCGGTGCCAAACGTACAACACGTTCCTACACTTTCAAAAAGTATGGTGGACCTGGATTTTATTTAATGTTTATTAGCGTTACAGCAAAACAAGTTTCAAGTTTCGCATTATTTTTGGCTGAAATAAAATATTAGTTACAGTACAGTATTCGGGTAAATTCAATACTGTACTAATAATTGATTATTGATAGTATATGACCATTTTCTAAGATAAATATTTTATTTCCCAGACAGATATTCAGTACAAGGAATTTATTTTTACCCCTAAATAATATATTTTCCAATCACTTGTCCTGAAAAGCTACAAAATGGCTAGAGAGATCGCCGGAGATGCTTGGCAGCGCTGGCCCCTCAGCTGGCGGAGGTTTCTGAGCGGTGACAAACTGGCAACAGCAGTAGTAGGCAGCCGACCTTCACGTCAGAAACACGGGAGCAGAGCTCAGGGGAAACTTCTCTCTGAAAGCATAATGGGGGGTGATCCACAGCCCTCGTCTTCACGGGACTCTCGCTCTAAGGCCAAGGAAGCAGGGGCGACGGAGGAGCTGACGATGGAACTGGTGAACGAGGAGATAATGACGCTGTACGAGCTGCTGGAGAGGCAAGGGGTGAGTTTATATTAGCTAAATGTTCCTCGTCGACCCTCTCACGTCCACCTCAGTGACCCTTCGCAGGGTTTCCCGTTTTTTTTTCGTTTTAAGTGTACCGTTATGCGTCACAAGATGTCTCTTGAGATGTCTCTTGACGTACATCAAATCAAATTGTGAATCTTGTTTAGACTTGTCTCAAGAATTATAAATTAAGAAATGCCAACTTGATTTGTGGATTTTATTAAAAAAAAATCTAGGAGAATTCCGTCATTGTATTGTTATTACATCTTTCCTGCAGTAGTATGCCTATAGGCTACTGCATAATTTGTTAAATATAAACAATTAACTGGATACATAAAGTTGATACTGTAGTTTAACAAAAGTATTAATTACAAACTCAATATAATAATAAATCTGGAAAAAATACGGGGACATTTGACAAGTCGCCGGTTTCCTGTCCTCGTCGAGGCCACTAGAGAAATAATGCCCTCCCCCTTCACAGGTAAATTCAGGTAACAATAATGATAATATATAATTAGAGATGGCAATCATCGTTATAATAGACTAATACAACAAGTTAAACGAGAATAGTTTGTTTAGTTAATTCATTATGCACCCTATACCCATCTTGTGGGCGGTAGTGGACAGAGTTACAGAGATTACATAGTTGGTTTAAGCTCTGGTATACCACGATACAGTATTAACGGAACAATGGTGGCGAAAGGTTCTCCTGATGCTACGTGCAGTTTGTGGAGGCCAGCCTCTCTCTCACCACAGTGGTGACCCCGGCCAGCCTCTCTCTCACCACAGTGGTGACCTCGGCCAGCCTCTCTCTCACCACAGTGGTGACCCCGGCCAGCCTCTCTCTCACCACAGTGGTGACCCCGGCCAGCCTCTCTCTCACCACAGTGGTGACCCCGGCCAGCCTCTCTCACCACAGTGGTGACCCCGGCCAGCCTCCCTCACCACAGTGGTGACCCAGGCCAGCCTCTCTCTCACCACAGTGGTGACCCCGGCCAGTCTCCCTCACCACAGTGGTGACCCAGGCCAGCGCCCCTTCACCATAATCCTTAAAAGGGGACTGTAGGTGGGGTAAATGTTAGGCAACGAGGAGCAATAGAGAGGGAGAAAGAAGCAGGGTGAGGATGGAGAGGGATTTAGTAAGGGGATTTAACAAGGGGAGAGAGAGAGAGAGACAGAGGACGAAGTATGTGGAGTACTTATCAAAACAACGCAACCTGCTTGACCTGAGAAATAATTAAAACTAGCAAACTATTATAATCTAAGGCGAGTGATGAGTGGAGGTGGCCAGTGGAGACGCGGAAGAGTTGGTTCATGTCACGCTTAGGGAAAGTGGGAGTGGGAAACCAGCCGAAGGTTGTGACATGTTCCATATGATAGTCATGTGAAGTAATACATTCTCTTATACCGTTCTTCACAAGGAAGAGAAGTGGTATAGCTGGAAGAATGGTTATGTTTTGAACAAAATTGACTTTTCATATAATTAATAAAAACAGATATTAACTGTAAAATGCTTTTAACCTAAAATACTTGTAACGAAAACATAATTTTCACCGACGTTCTTCAATGAAGACATTTTAATCGGCATAGAGAATGAGGATAAGCAGAATTTAGAAGTACTCACCTTACTGTAACTCATCTAAAAATCCAGGATTTTTAGACGAGAATAATAAGAATCTAGGATTAAGAACAGCTTAGACCTACGTGTATAAATAATGGTGTGCATGAAGTTGTTGTTTAAGGTTATGAAAAAGATTTTCAAAGTTAAAGATTGGCGCCAAGTAAATCCTCCCTGACCAGGCGAAAGCGCTAGAGAAATGCCAGGCGAGTGTGCTACCACTTCGCCACGGGGACGAATATAACATACTTCAAGGAACACCAGAATTAAGTAACTTACATTAATATTATCAGTGCGCTTACTAGTAAAGTTACTTCAATAATAGGCCTGAATTTCATTATTCATTTCAGTTCAGGATCGGTTAGTAGGCCGTGATGGGGAAGAACATTAATGGGGGCTGTTGAGACTATATGAAGGAACCCAGGAACGAAAGCACAAACTTCCATGTTAATTTCTACAGTAAAATAAATATCTATGTTGCAGAGCAATGTTACAATGCTGTCATATATTGTAATAACTTTACCGCGCTGAGCTCATCAGCGCGGTTTACACCAGCTGAGTTACGCAGTATAAACCTGAGCAGGTCTGTGACTGCTGCTCTGCCCAGGTGCTTTGTTAATGTTTGCAAACTTGTGTTATCAGCTGAACAAGAGTGAATGGGACGCGGTAACCCAGCCGCTGGTGGAGGCTGTGAGGAAGGCACAGCTTCGCCAGAGGGCTGCGTCCTTCGCCAGGTGGGCGGCATTCATCTTTGCCCTCCTCATCGTAGTCTATCTCCTCCTCCAGGTAAGTTGAGTTTTTATAGCTAAATAATGAAACTTTTTTTCCCTTGTACTTGAACTAGATCAAAAACTCTTTTAATCCAACATAAAATCAAAATCTTAATTTAAAACAGACAAGAACATAAACGTAGGCATTCAACTCATAAACCAGAAGCCAAAAAATGCATCTAACATATGAACTAAAATGCAATGGTCTATATTTAACTTCTGAACGTAAAATCTAAATGTCATATAATTTAGTTAAATTCGATATCTGCCAAAACCTTCATGATTAGACGTGTTAATTGTGGGTTTCAGATAGCGTGGGTTCAGAAGATTATGACGGTGTTGTTCCGCCACTGTCTCCTACTGGTGAGTACTCCTAACAATGATGAGTTCTCAGTCTGTCAGTCGATACTAGCTTTTTAAATAAATTGTTTGGCTTCATAACGAAGGCTGTTAGGTCGTTGCCCTTGTCGCGATGGGCTAGTACGGACAAAGGGGGGGGGGATTTTCTCAACATGAAGAGAGCATATTATTCTGCACGGTAATCTTGAGATAATTTCGGGACTTAGCGTCCTCGCGGCCCGGTCCTCGACCAGGCCTCCTTTTTGTTACACCTCCCAGGAAGAAGCCCGTAGCAGCTGTCTAACTCCCAGGAATCTATATACTGCTAGGTAACAGGGGCATCAGGTTGAAAGCAACTGCCCATTTATTTCCGCCTCCGAACCCGAAACCTCGGGACTACGAATCCGAATCACTGTCCACTCAGCTGTCTGGCTCCGCATCCAGCGGCAAGGTTGGATGCCGCTGTTGGGAGCCCGTGACAAACACACCCCCCCCCCCCACACCTTCCCCTTCACAGGCACTGGCAGGTTGAGTCACCAGACTGGTTCCTAGAGGCTGCTCACCACTCCCACAGAACCAACACATTCACCTCAGGTCTCTTCTCCCTTCTCTTGGCGTGGGCGAGACGGGTTGTTGGATCCCATTGTTGTTGCTATCTCTTATTGCATGACTACCCCACTTTTGTCACACTAACGGCGACTGATAACTACGTCACAGTTTGTCACACTAACAGAGGTAGTTAATCAGTCTGTATTTGTCATATTACGAGAGGGTGGGGGGGGGGGGGCGGATAACTATCCCCCCACCGTTTGTCATACTAACGGGGCCAGATAACTACCCCCACTGTCACATTAACGGGCACTGATAACCAGCCTCCGTTTGTCACACAGAAACGGATTACCAGCCCTCATTTATCGTCGCAATAAGAGAACTAAGCTGTGAAAACAGGTTAGGGGGGTGTGTGTGTGTGGGTGGGGGGGGGGGGGGGGGCGCCTCACTCAACCTCATTTCCCTCGACCGTCCCACACTTACCTGGCGCCTCGACTGTCCCGGGGGCGTAAATTACACTGAGGCGGGGTTTGTAATTCGAGGGTCTACAGTTTAATGTAAGAATCTAACGAGTTGTAAAATATTTCAGTCAATTTCGTGCGTTTGTGTTATGTGCGAATTTGTAATGTGTGTGTGTAATGCATTGCTCTGTAAGTATGAGTCCGTGTTATGAGTGAATCTGTAATATGTAACGTACTAATTTGCATGTAATGTGAGTCTGTGGTGTACGATTCTAATGCGTGAGCTAGTGTAATATATGAGTTTGTGAAATGTGGGTTACATTATGTCACTGGAGTGGGAGGTGATACGAGTCACCACAATACAAGGCGTTACAATATGAGTCACTACAATGAGAGGAGTTGTAATGTGTCATACAGTACAATACAAGGGGTATTGAGACAAAATACACCATGACTCTAAAATTTACGTTTAATGCGTAAATTTTGAGTCGTGGTGATAAGTCCGTACACTGTGTGTTGATGCAATATTTTGATTTGTTATACGATTATAAGTGAAACGAAATTTGTCGCAAGGCATCGGCCAGAGTACAGTAGGCATCCTTCAGTCTAAAGACTGGAGTTGCGCCCTGACAGGGCGCAAAGCCTGGGTAGGTAGATATGGAGGAGCTGTTACCCATGCAGTAGGTCCCCCCTCTCCACGTTGCTGAAATTGTCCAATAGAAAGGCAAATTTATTTAAGCAGCCTTACTCGAATTTAATTTAAGCAGCCTTACTCGACCAGAGTAAGGCTGCTTAAATTAACAAGCCCAACCAATGACACGGCCGCCAGCGTCATTTTTTTGTAACGTAACATTGCAGTGCATCTCAATTGTGCTTCATTATAATGTGTGAGGGTTGCCACAATGCGATAGTTATTATATAGTAAGCATGATTACATGTCCCAAGTGACAACAACACAAATACACCAGCTGGCCAAAGTAAAGCTGTATTTCGTTCACGTTCTTTTATGGGATTTTAAAAGAGGAAACTTCTTCCTATTTTCTGCTTGGCGGCTTGGTATTGGGCGGTGGAGAACCGAGAGGCGAGAATGGTATCGTGTCTGGGAGTAATGTCGGCCGTAAGGGTACGATGAGCTATTCCTTACCCCTCCCACGGGACTTACTGTGCAATCTAGTATGTGCAGGCAGAAGGGAGGAGGGGGCGTATAACTCCTGGAGGGTGGGGAGAGCTCCATGAGGGTAGGGGGGGGGACGACCAGGGGGGTGCTGGTAAAAATGGAGGCTGTTGCCATGAGTTACTGGTGAAGTGGAAAACTGCTAAGGGGGCGTTGGTGAAGGGGAAAGGGGGGGGGCAGCGGCTAGTGGTAATGGGGGGTAACCAGTGGCCAATGAAACGCTGATAAAGGTGGGGCAAATAACAGAAAGGTAGGCGTACAGTAAAGGGGCGGGCAGCGGCCAAAGGGTGCACTGGTAAGGGGACAGGCAGTGGCCAAAGAGGCACTGGTAGGGGGGCAGGCATCGTCCAAGGAGGGGGCGGACGGCGACCTGGATGTCTTAAGAGTTTGGGGAGGTGGTATTTGCGTAGTGACAATACTGATTAAACCAAGAGGCACGAATTAATATTAATAAAGCGATCTTGGCTTTATTTCTGCGAAATTTGTAATGATGTACAGTATAGGGTTAGTGTAGTTCATTTATTGTGCATCCCATACCCATCCTGTGAGTGGTAGTGGCAAAAGTTACAAAGGTACATAATGGTCTAGGAGCTGAACCCTAAGCAAGTTACTACACTGATGAGCTAGTTACATAACATGTTTGGATACGCGTCCTATGTGCGGTGCTGTAGGTAAAGATAGGTGTTCGTATAGGCCAGATTCTGCACTACAAGCATTTATATAAGTAGATAATGAGTGGTGCGAGTCTTATCATGTTAACCTTTTAGTGCTTGGATAAGTTCAACAAGGATACGCTCTGAACTGGAATACTATTGCAGTACAATAAATATATTCATTTTAAAGAGGAGTGAATGATGGATCAATTCACTGTATTTAGAAAACGATGCCAGCGAATGATGTGGCGTCCTATTTACAGAAAAATAAGTTTTCAAATATAATTATGCTGACACGATTAATCTACCTTATGCTTGATCAACACCAGTTGTTTTAAATGTCAGTCGATGTAGCTGAGCACGAGATAGATTTGAATTCTTTCAAGACTGATGACATTGTTATTTCCGTGAAGAAATTGAAAAATGATTAAGTGAAATTCTTTAAGCTTCGAGAGATTTACCTATTTGGTCGATCTACAATTACGGTTGATATAGTTGTGAAGATACAGTACTAATAGACAATTTCTCTCTCAATGCCATATAGAATCTCTTAATCTTCCGATGTTCACTATTCAATTACCGTACTTTGGTTGCAATATTTTTGTATTTATTATTTGAGCTTTGAAGCTATGCGAGTTGTGAGATTATGTGAATTTTAAGTCTGATTTCATTGACCATGCAGTTTTGAGACCATGTGCGCCAAGCATTGGCAGTGTTGATATTGTTGTGTTTTGAAACTGTGCTGTAAAACTGGATTGTGAGACTGAGCTTTATAAGATTTAAAAGTGTGTTGAAAAAAAAAAAGTTCATACCATACAACCCATTCCTTGGGATCATATCATATTTTAAGAAACTCACATGTTCACATTAATATACGAGTCTCATTGTTTCTGGCTTAATAATTCCAGAAGAAATGTGCTTTAGGCATTGGTAAAGCATATTTCGGAGATGTGAGCAAACTGTCCCAGAGCAAACAGCAGAGATAGCACCACTTCATAAAGGAGGAAATAAGGCAGAGGCAAAAAATTACAGACCGATAGCACTAACATCGCACATCATAAAAATTTTTGAGAGAGTGCTAAGAAGTAAGATCACAAAATACATGGAATCACAGCATCTCCATAACCCCAGACAACATGGTTTCAGAACAGGGCGCTCTTGCCTGTCGCAGTTGCTGGACAGGCAAGAGCCTGTCCAGCTCTAATGATATGGCATTAGATGCTATGAAAGACAAACAAAACGCCGATGTAATTTACACAGATTTCGCAAAAGCTTTTGATAAATGTGACCATGGTGTTATTGCACATAAAATGCGTTCAAAAGGAATTACCGGAAAAATAGGCAGATGGATCTACAATTTCCTGACCAACAGAACCCAATGTGTAAGAGTCAACAAAATAAAATCCAGCCCATCAACCGTGAAGAGCTCAGTCCCCCAGTGTACTGTGCTTGCTCCAGTACTTTTTCTCATCCTCATATCAGACATAGACAAGAACACAACCTATAGCACTGTATCATCCTTTGCAGATGACACTAGGATCTTCATGAGAGTAGGCAACATAGAAGACACAGCAAACCTCCAGTCAGATGTAGATCAGGTCTTTCTATGGGCTACAGAAAATAATATGGCGTTTAACGAAGATAAGTTCCAGCTCATGCCCTATGGAAAAAATGAAAATATAAAAACGGAAACCACGTACAAAACTCAGGCAAATCATAACATAGAACGAAAAGGCAACGTAAAGGATCTGGGTGTACTCATGTCGGAAGACCTTACCTTTAAAGAACACAATAAAGTAGCCGTAACAACTGCAAGAAAAATGACAGGTTGGATAACAAGAACTTTGCACACTAGAGATGCTATACCGATGATGATACTTTTCAAAACGCTTGTGCTCTCTAGAATGGAGTACTGCACAATGACAGCCCCTTTCAAAGCTGGAGAAATTGCTGACCTGGAGAGCGTGCAGAGATCCTTTACTGCTAGAATCCACTCAATAAAACATCTAAACTATTGGGACCGACTAAAGAGCCTAAAACTGTACTCCCTTGAGCGCAGGCGGGAGAGGTACATAATAATTTACACGTGGAAAATATTAGAGGGGCTGGTCCCAAACCTGCACACAGAAATAACATCACATGAGACCAGAAGATATGGCAGGATGTGCAGAATACCCCCGTTGAAAAGCAGAGGTGCAACAGGTACTCAGAGAGAATTCTATCAACATCAGAGGCCCGAGACTGTTCAACACGCTTCCACTACACATAAGAGGCATAACTGGCCGACCCCTCACAGTGTTCAAGAGAGAACTGGATAAGCACCTCCAAAGGATACCTGATCAACCAGGCGGTGACTCATACGTCAGGCTGTGAGCAGCCGCGTCCAACAGCCTGGTTGATCAGTCCAGCAACCAGGAGGCCTGGTCGACGACCGGGCCGCGGGGACGCTAAGCCCCGGAAGCACCTCAAGGTAACCTCAAGGAGCTACTAAACAATGCTCTAGGTCAAGGGGCATTTAATGCCACTTAACCTGAGGGGCTTACCATGTTGTTACCTTGTGTTATTTTGGGGGGGTCAACATCATCGCTGCCTAGTTGCAGACCAGACCTCATGGGTTGGTGGTCAGGTCAATCACTAACCAACAACCAGCAGAGCTTGTTGTTGTCCCCTCTCTTATCCTTTCCTCCCTCTTCCACACCATTACCCTCCCCCCTTCTATCTTTTGCTTTCTCCCAGAAAATGTAATACTGTATTATTAATAGGTGGTAAACTGCTAAAATACTCAATAGGAAACAAATCTACAATTTCAGACTTCATGAATATTTCTTAGTGATGGTACTGAGGCAAACCCTGACTGACTTATGATACTCCCATACCACCCATATATATTATCTTGAAAAGTTGAGTGAGGCTAGGTATACTAGGTTGAGTTATCTTAGGTATACACAGCAATGTGCTGCTACTCTATTCTGAATGAAAGATTACACAGTGTAGATAAAAAACTAGCTGTAAGTTCATCTAATATTCTCATCTCACAGGATGGTTAGTCATACATGAAATGTAAGGCTGTAATGTAAGGCTAAAATGTAAGGTTTTATTTGCCTCCGCTAGCAAAATCTGGGTACAGCACAATGATATCTTCCAATTTTCCTGAGTGTATGAAGTAATTACAGAGCTTAGAGTACCTCATACAAACACAATTCTTCTCTTCACAGCTGCTGCCACGCTGGGATTGGACGCGTATTTACTATTCCGACTGCTTCATCACCAATCCATATTACGTTAGCCGCTCCTTGACTGAGGATGACTGTAATGTAAGCTAATGTTTCAGGAGTTTGTGGATTTATTGTTATTATTTCTTCAGCTGTAGAGATATTTGTAATCTCTATACTGTATTTTGTAATCTTTGAAAATTTTTATGCTAGCCCCCCCCCCCCAAGCTCACTGGAGCTTAGGCACTTGTTCCACAGACTGTTCCAGTCATACCAGGTCCCTGAAACTTATGTAGCCTACCAAAAACCAGGATCAGAATTTGGTTCTCTCAAAGCAGCAAGGAGAGCATAGGGATCAAAGATTGACCCAAAACCAAGAAGACCATCCCAGAAAGTCATTGTCAAGACAAAACAAACCACGACTCTTTAAAGAAATTAAATTAGTAAAATTAGGCAAAAAATAGTTGGCAACTAGCAAAAAACTGTGCCCATCTCTCCCAACCACTACCAGGCTGCAGCTTTCCTTACTTGTAAGTCTTGATTGCATCTTAATGTAATAGTAACATTATTAATGTGAAAAGTATTTTACATGATTAAAATGGATGTATGTTAATTACAGTATATTCTGTAGTACTGTACAGTATTTCTTATGAGCTTTTTGTGTAAAATTGTTGCAGATTTCTGCTATTAGAGGTGTAAAAATGAATATCAATTCTTATTTGCTACATTGGTGAAACATTACAATATTGTATACAGTACCTTAGTAAATATGAAGATTTTTAATCTTGTGATTAAAGATACAGTACTTATCTTTACTGTCCTTTACAGGTGTGTGAATCATTGGATAAGGTGGACCGTCTGACAAATGTCTCTTCACAAGTGGTGTCTGAAGATTACCTAAAGAATGATATACCCTTCATTGTTACAGATGCCATGGATGACTGGCCAGTAATGAACACTGAACAGTTCTGGTTTGATAATATTACAGAGGTCAGTGCCATCTTGAATGTTGATTATGCCATTTAATGCACTGTGTCTCCTAGTATTGCATTTATCTATGAAAATTATTAAAAATCTGATTGAAGCCATATTAGAAGAGTTACCCTTAATTTTTCTACTCTGGCTGAACTTCATTGATAACATCTTTAATTTCAGCATATCCTATGATGGACAACTTAAAAGAGAATCTGACTAAAGAGATTTCACAATACAGTAATTGCAAACATCTCAGATCCAGCCCCTTAAAGCCAATTTTTTATTGCAATGGTGTAAATGATCCAGGCTGATCTATTTCCCTGTGTCCAAAATTTTGATTCAACATTTTTTATGACATCTTGGGGACTTGTTCCAATAAATAATTTAGAAGTTATGGCTTCATAATAATTTTCTGAATAATGATTCTTGCATTTCCACTGACCTAAACTCAAGTCTTCCATTGAATGATAAAAAAGCACATATGACTGCCAGGAAGTTACTAATGATCCTGATTTTAAAGTGGCCCCCTGCCCCCCTCCCAACCCTCTGAAATCTGTTCATTTTCCAACACATTACAAATTTAGAGGGAGATCCAGTGATTAAATTTAGTTTGTTGTTTAGAGGAATTCATAAGGAGTTCTGGATTTTGGTGGCACTACTGTACATGTTCTTAAGAAAGTAAATGGTGTTTACTCTTCATGTATGGTGATACATTCTCTTAAAAGGGATGTCTTATGGTTTTATTTTATCTTTAATATTTATTTCTCTTTATAATAATAATATATCCTCAATGTACATTACAGATGTTTTGCTGGTAATAACCACTAATAATGACTCTTTCATAAATGGTGGCAGATGTACTTGAGTGAGGAGCTTCGTACTATTTACCCTTGTGAATTGACATCAAACCTTCGCCTTCGTCCTGATGACTTAAGAAGTTTTTTGAAAAAAATTCATAATCCAGATATACATCGCTGGTATGGCCACTGGTAAGTTTCTGCCTGTTAAGAGACTGATATACATTATATCTCAGCAAGTAGTGCTTAAAATATGAAATAGAGTATAAAAAACAGTAAAAAATCCCAGCTCAGGGACCTTGAGCTGGACCTTGCACTTCACAAACACAATTAAGTGAGCACATTGCATTAGATGTCCATGTGAAGGGTGCCAACTTCTAGCTTCAATTCCAAACTGTTCATGTCCAGAATGTCATAATTTATGGACAAGTTAATGCAGAACAACATTACCACAGCAAGATAATCTCTGAGCAGCTCTGTTAATGTTTTAGGAAGTATAGTACATTAAGTTCCTTACATTCTCCTCCTGTTTGCATTGTATCTTTTTCTGCCTACTATAATGCCTACTTTCTTATATATTATTTGTATATATTGTCTTTGGTATTTTTTCTACTTCAAAAAGTCTCTTAATATTCAGTGTTCGTGTAAGCTTATTGGCAATCTATTTTATATAAAAATTACATGTCTCCATCTATAAAGCATGGTACAAATTTAACAATTTATACAATATCTTGCATTTCTATAAGGCTTTTATTTTATTGTAATTTTAATAGGGAAAACTGTAATAAAAAGGCTGCGAAGGCCCTGCGGCAGATATATCGCCGTCCATACTTCATTCCGCACATGGTTGATCTGTCTGACTCCAACTGGGTCATTATATCATCAGATTTTAGAGGCAAAGTATATAAAGAAGTGAGTAACCTACCGGTATATGTTTTTCATTGTTGAGCTTTCAGCAACTTATTCTTGAATGCTACAAGAACTATTCCCAACAATAAAAATTTTAATGCATAACATAGTAATTTACTTTTTATAAAACAAATAACACTCTTCTTCTCCATTAGATCGACTTCCAAACTGAGTTACTATGGGTAGCTCAAGTTCGGGGCTGGAGTCGTATAAGGCTAGTGCCTCGGGAACCATGCGACCACTTTTGTCCCGAGTTACTTGAAACTATTACTGAAAGCCAAATGAGTAAGTTCTGTAATTTGTTTTGTGGTAATGCATATCAGATTGTTAGCATTAAAATTTAGCAAACCTGCTTATTTTGAAGGGGATGATATTTCTGCCTAATTTTTTTTTTTGCATTTGAATTCCATGTAATTTGCCAGCAAATTGCTGTTGTGAGGTGAATGCTCTAAATTCAGAAAATTCAGAAGCAGAATTTTAGAAGATTATATTGAGCTGTGGAAAGCGCTCTCTCCTTGCAAGAGACCTGACATGTCATATTAACAAAAGATTTAAATAATTCATTTATGTAAATTCACTACAGTACTGTACTTAATATTAGATGTAAATTAATACAAAATCTAAAGCTAAACAAGAGTCTAAACATTAGTGCAAAATGATTTATTCTATTCAGGTTTAATTCATGGGTGATGAGCATTGGTTTAATAAGTGAGAATGTTTCTATACCTACAGTACTTGAGGGAAATATTACTATTTTGTTACAATATCGGCAAACATACAGTAGTTTGGTTATTTAGGGTTCTTTGAGAAGTGAAAACAGTTGGGAAACATGGTTCCATACACCAAATTGGTACCCGAGAGTTAGGCAACTGTTGTTGGTTATATTCTGGGCAAGGTCAGTTGTTGACTTGGGAAATCTTGACAGTGGGAAATGATATCATGCAAATTCACTACATATCATAGGGTAGGTATGGCTTTGACTATTTTCAACTTGATAAAAGGTTGTGCAACATTTTATTGTATTAGGGAGGCTGTTCCACAATTTAGAACCATTTATTTACTTGGCATATTTCTTTGGTCGAGTCAGACTTGAGGGACATTGAAAAGATATTGACTATTTTGTTTTACGGAGTTCCATTGGCTACCAAGAGTGATGTTAGAATTGGTTAAATTTGTACATAGAATGGCTTTATAGTTAGTAAAGATTTTGTTGGAGAAGAAATATTATGGTTGAAATATTTGTAAGTACAGTACATACGTACTGCACAGTAGTTCTGCCTATACTATATCCAGCTACATATCAAGAAATTGTATCATTTATATTTAAAATTGTACTGTATTATAATTGTGGATTATATTGATAAGAGCTTTGGTTGTGCAACAATTAGCTATGATAACTGCAAATATATCAGTCTCTATCCACTCGAATTGAGATGGCAGGTACAGCTCACTATACTGTCATAGACACAAGTTGAGTGCAATTAACTTGATCAAGTTTTGTAGAGGTGTTTAGGCCCAAAACCTAATATGACAGGTAATACTATGGTTGCTAGGTGGGGAACCAAACTAGACAGTTAATTTTAAGTTTGTAGTAACATATTGTATAGCACAAAAACATTTCAAAGTACTGTAGTCTGGTTACGACCAATATGTACACAATTTTAGATTAAAAATCACTCTTGCTCTTTTTATTCCATAACAGTATGATAAATTTTCCTGAGCAACATTATTTAATAATGATAAGTGTTACAACTTTAATAAGGCCTAATCTTTAAATAAGATATAATTTTTATTTTTTCAGTTGTGGTTACAAATTTACTATGGAAATTTGAATACATCCCCGGAGAGCTGACAGACAACTTGGCTATTGCTGTTGGTGGTTTCTGGACATAAAGTACCTAATAACGACAGTCATGGTAAACAGAATTGAAGCTGTGAGAGTGCTGCTGGTCTGTATATCTTTGTAACAGTTTATGGACCATGTAAAGAAGAAGAAAAAAGAATTTTACATACAAATTTAGAGCAAGACTTTCAGAGCACAGAAATTCAGTTAAAGAAAAAAAGGCTAGTAAACAGATAAAGCCACATATCACTTGTTATTCACTATGTGCTGTATATTGGCAAGTCAAATGTCTCAAATATGAAAATAATATAGGAAAAGGGAGCAAATTATGCATTATATCAAATTGCTTTTGCTGAATTAGCAGCTTCAGCAGATAAACTTACATCAAAGATGTTGTTAATGCCATATACATTTGGAAAAGTATATTTAATTAGATATTCATTATAATTCCTAAATATCTCAAGTCAAGAATTTACAAATAACATTATTGTACTCAAGTCTTGCAATACCCAAATTCTGTACAGTATATCCATGACAAAGTTTATATAAAAAATACAGTAATAGTTTTGAATTATATTGTAATTATAAATAAAAAGCAAAGCTGTACAGTGTTTTTTTTTTAATTTACAATATTAATCCAGTACATATCAAGCCTGTATGTAGAATTTCACACACAGAGTGCCTGCCTGAGAGGATGCAAGTCACATTGTACAAAAGACAGTTTGTCAATGAACTTTAAAACCTATGTAACCTTACCTTACCTAACCCAAACCAACCTAACCAGATCCCACCAAGCCTAACCTAAGCTTATAGTCTAAACTAACATATATTGTTAAGTTTTAACCAAAAACAGGATTTGTTGAACTGTATTTTGTACAATTTAACTATATACCCCACCTGGGAGGGTGTGGGATGGATGTCTCCTATCTACAGGGGCAAATCGAGAGACTTCAATGTGCATTAAATTTTTTTATAGTACAGTGGTGCCTCAAATAATGAATTTAATCCGTTCCGGCACCGAGCTCGTCATGTGAAACGCTTGTCTTGCGAAACAACAACAACACTGTCGTCGGAGGCGTCTGAGAACCAGTGGGAACACTAAAGTGTTACCTCTCTATTATAACTTGAAATTTCTCTTGTTATTCTTTCACATTTAAATGTCGGTAGTCTGCTAGGCATTTGGTACACCTATCCAATTCTTGAGCCTGTCATCATATCATTGAACTCATCAGACTTAAGGCATGACAATCTTCCTTAACCTATGTTTTGAATCTTATACTCTGTCTTAAATATCCTCCTTGTGTCCATTTCCACTACTTTGAAGGATATGCATATCAGGAAAACTGGTCTACATTTATTTTTTCACCTGCCTATCCTACGTTTTTTGTATCATTGTGCTGTATTTCCTACTTTTCAGCTGTATTGTATTAATTTACATTCTTTATCAATACTGTAGTGACACTCAGGATTCAGCCACTTCCTTCAGAATCCACAAAGATCCAGGAGCTGCAGCTCTTGGCCATAAAACTTTTAGCTATTTGTTGTTTGGTGCCATGTGGCTCCCTGACACTTTTCATACTTTTTCACACCTACATTTGAAGCTGTGAATAATATAATCTAGTACCTCCTCCTCTAATTTATTTCTCTCGTTTACCAAAAAATACTCATGTCCCACGTACTCCTCAGTGTTTCCAGTTTCCATCCATTTATTTCACGACCCATGTTAAACATTCTATTCTTGTTCACTTTGTTATCTCCAATAATTTTGTATGTTGTGATCAGGTTTATCATAATTTTTCTAGATAAGGATTCAGATGTCTTAATCTATCATCTCATCCCAAGTCTCTTAGCTTTTTGTGAACCATTTCTGAACTGGTTTGTGAAAACACCAGTGTACAGTAATGTGCTATATACAGGGTAACTTCCATACTAGCATTTGATGATAATTTTTCAATTAAATTTGATTCAAAATTCTATAGTTTTGCACCCAAAATATGAATATATTCAATAAATATATCAACAATGTCACACATCTGCAACCAATTCCTTACAAAATTGCAACATTCTATGGTGTAAGCTTCCTGACATCAAACCAAAAGGCGACCAGTTTAAATTGTCACGTAGAATGCAAAGAGATACATTCAAATGAAATAAAATCCAAGTGTAGTGAAAAGCTCTATATCCCAGGGGACAGTCCTTTCACCACTCTCTTTCTCATTCTTATATCAGATATAGACAATGATACCAGTTACAGCTTTATCATCATTTGCAGATGATACAAAAATTATCCTGAAAATTTTCTCTGCTGAAAAATTACATGCCAATAATAATAATAAGTCTTCGAGTGAGCAATGGAGAATAACGCAATGCTCAAGTGCCTCATGTTGCTTTCTCCTTTCACAATGCTGCTGCTTTATCTGTACCACTATTATTCTTATAGAAATTGTTTTTGCAGCTAATACAAGCTGCAAAGCTACAAGCTGACTCTTATTTACTTTTTACTTTGTTAATTGTTGTTAGCTAAGTTATTTGAAAAGTAGATATTTTTTTTAATAAGGCTAAACAAAAAAAGTTTATAAAATTTTAATTTATTTCAAGCTATAAGACAGATCTAATACATATTGGATTTAGCAGGTGATATAAACAGGGATTACCTATGAACAGCTGTAACAAAGAACGTGTCACCTATCATTAGGAAACATTGTTTCCCCTTATACTAAATGTGAATGTTAAAGTATATAATCAAAATTTCCATATTTTTTGTAAAAGGCTTCAATTTACATATTTAACTTTGATAGATGGCTTCATTGAACATTTTTTAATACAGTTTGCTATATTGTAGTTGTTATTTTTGAAAGAAATATTAACACATTAATTAATATGTATTAACGAAGTTTAGATTGCTCTTTATAAAATGAACTTTCTAAGTTTCCTGTACTATATTTGTTAAGGATTCCATAGGAAACCAAGTACTATACCGTTTGTACACGGTTAAAAAGTCTAGTGTGGAAATTCAGAGTAATTGTAACTTAAACTTCAGTACCAGTGGCATAGTGGGAACACACTCACCCGGTGTTTCACAAGCGACTTGGCGTGGATTAGTATCCTGGCCAAGGAGGATTGACTAGGTGCCAATCCTTAACTATAGTCTCTGTTAACCCCAGCAGTGAATGGGTACCTGGTTGTTAAACGATTTGGCGCATCTTATTTCAGGGAAAATTAGGATTAAGGACCTGCCCGAAATGCTATACGTACTAGAGGCTTTACAAGAATTTAAGCACTCTTGTACTGTATATATAAATAAAAAAAAATCATAATCCCATTACAACTGTTCACAGTCAACATTTAGTGTGCATAAACTATGTCGCACTAACACAGTGACAGTTCCTCCAAGTGGCACAATAACTTTCATATTCCCATCCATCACAGAATAATGTGCATATTGTATAATGACTGTAGCCTGGTATTAAACTCAAGCATACAGTAGTCTACACTGTACTGTATATGTAAATTAGCATCACATAAAATTAGATACTGTACTGAATGATATCGAACATGGTGTAATGCTAGTGAGACATTTGTATCCATTATTACAAGTTTAATTCTTAATAAATGGACTGAAATGCTTTTTAATTTAATTTTTTTTTTTTTAATAAGTGCCATGTATCATTTTATGCTGTATGTAATGTACCTCCCAAATAATTTTCAGGAAAACACTATTTGTAGCATGGCAATCTTGAAAAAGATAAGCTTCATATTAGTATGTATTTTCATCTTAATTAAAAAGAGGTGCAGCATTTACATAGCATGCATTATTCAACTAGATAGTTGGATATCTTATGTTTAGTTCTGCTTTTGACAGTGGAAAATGGAATGACTGATGATAGCTCATGTTGGAAGCACTAAATTACTCTTCATCACAGGACAAACATTGAGAGCAGTGTAGGATGGTTGAGCAGCAACAGCTGCGGCAGACTGGTGGTGGTGGTGGGAGACATACTCAACAGTGGCATAAGAATTTCTGGTTGAATTAAAGTTTCATATTTGTAAATGTAAAAAAAATAGCTATACATTTTTCTGGTGCTCATTAAACACACGAAAGAATCTTCACCGAGATTAAGTTAAGACTATAAAAAGCACATCTAAAAACTGTGAATAATTACCATAATGTATACTTGACTAAGAACAATTTCTAAAATTTATATTCGACTCTTAATTCTGTATTAAATTTTATCAACATTTTTACTATAATTTCTTATGAATTTTTTGCACCTGAGAAAAATATTCATACCATCATAGGCAAAAGAAATAAACGTTTACAAATCTTAAATTATATGTAAACGTTGTCCCATATACTGTACTTTATCAGAATAATATTTACAAATTTAAAATAGCCAATATGTACATTCCAATGACTTTGTATCTATTAAAATCTTAAGATTTCTAAAAATCTTATTCTATAAGACCAATAAAATGTATTATTCCAGATTTAGAGTTGAAATTTCGCTCGGGAATTCTGGAGACACCACTATATCACATCCATTGAAATACATATGTCTGTTGCGCATTTCAATCTTCATTGATAATACCCATCAAAAACAGGTAAAACACACCTATGGCTCAGTTCTCATAGAAGTAAATAGATACTGTACTTAGGAGTTAGGCAAATGTTGTGGGTTGCATCTTTGTGAAGGTCAGTTAGTATCCAAGAGAGTCCTCAGCAAGTAATAGATTTGCTATTCCCAACAATGGAAAATGAATTGAGTAAATTAATAATCAGTTCTGATACGAACCCAGGTCAAAGCTCACTCGAATCTCAGGGCGAATGCTTTACCACTACACCACGGGGACTAGTGGATCATCAATATTGATGGTTTGGCAAAGCTTAAATGTTGCTTATACTTGACGGAACTAATTGTATGATCTGAGGATTCTTATCCGTTTCCAGGTTGGAAACAAAACGGGAGACTGACCCGAAAACACAATAGCTAAACCGTGTAGTGTTAAAGCACTCACTTGACGCTTCAAGAGTGCTTTGCCCTGGGTTCCTATCCTGGACGGGGAGGATTGACTGGGCGCCAATCCTTAACTGTAGCCTCTGTTCACCAAGAAGCGAGTTGTTAAACGATTTGGCGGGTCGTACTCGGGGAAAAATTAGGATTAACATTATGATTTTAACTCACTCACACACATCCTGGGAATGTGTGTGTGAAAATTAGGATTAGGACTTGCCTGAAATGCTATGCGTGCTAGTGACTGTAAAAGAATGTAAGAACTCTTGTATATAATTAAGGACCTGCATGGACCTGAATGGGTACCTGGCTAGTAGCTTGACAAGAATGTAAGAACTCTTGTATATATAAATAAAATAAAAAAAAAAATAATGTAAAACCGGCAAAAACTCAACTGCCTAGCGACGAGGCGACTCCTGAAGACACACGGCAGAGGCGTCCCCCGAGGCAGCGCAGAGATTAGACAGTCGCACAACGTCAAGGCTGAACTGGGAATCCTCTGGGTGAATGATGGTGTCGGTGGGTTAGAGGCAGTTACAGCACGGATTCGTGTCGCGTTGAAGGCATCAACTGATCGTTTATATTTTTGTTGCAATGTTTACGTTTTCTATATTTGGTTGTCCAATTGACTTTAATTGAATGAACAGGTTAAATGTGTTGCATGTACTCACCTAGTTGTGATTGTGGGGGTTGAGCTTTGGCTCCTTGGTCCCGCCTTCTATGTGTACATACGTACGCACACATGCACACCACAACGCGCACACATACAATGTGTGTATTAGAGAAATATTGGAAAGCAGATTGGGAATCAGTACATTTTTTTAACTAGACAACCGATGGTTAGAAATCCCCGTGGATTTCCCCATGGCACAGTGGTAAACCACTCTCCTGGCCTGATTAATTAGCTGGATACTCAATCTGTAGTACTTACTGCTTTTGCTAAACCCATGGCAGGCTATCATTCATTAAGTCAAGCGTCGATGGCTTTGCCTGCACGCACGCACCCACACACAAAGACACGAAACTTTAAGCAGTTCGTATTTCTTATATTTTTTGTCATTTCTATTAATATTTTAATATGGAGTATTTCACATTGTCCTATTGTTCTTGTTCTTCCTCTGGTTCTGGTTCGTGCTCATGTTCTTGTTCTGGTTCATGTTCTTGTTCTGGCTCTGGCTCTTCTTCCTCCTCGTAGTCGTCTTCCTCCCTCTCATCCTCATCAGCAATGGCTTCCTGGTACTGCTGGTACTCTGACACCAAGTCGTTCATGTTGGCCTCAGCCTCTGTGAACTCCATTTCATCCATTCCTTCTCCTGTGTACCTGAAGAACCACCAGGAGAGATTTTTGTAAGCACTGCATAGTAAGTATACCCGTTCTGTACAGAGACAGAGTTATTGAATTATAAACAACATAAGAGGTGTGTTAGACTGCGTGTAGACACTGGATTATAGACACGTCCCATAAGGGTACATCTACATCTCATACAAATTATAAGAGCAAACACTGAAATTACATATGAGAATTTTCGGAAATGGTACTAGTCATAATTTTATAACCATCAATAAATACAAAGTGCGCCAAACAATACTTTAATATGTTTTTAATATAATCAAATGCATGCGTGTAATATATATATTTCACGGAAGTTTATTTGCAATTTATTACTGTTATCAGGACCTCTCTCAAACGCACAAAATTATAAAGTGCATCTGATTTTAACATCGAAAATGCCGAGATATTCTCTGAATACAACTTCATAATAAAATAATTTGTTAGCAGATGGCAGGAAGCAATGTATAAACAAATTCCTTCAATATCTTACCAGTGAAGGAAGGCCTTCCGCCGGAACATTGCCGAAAACTGGTCGCCGATACGGACAAACAACTCCTGGATGGCTGTCGTGTTCCCTATGAACGTCCCCGACATTTTGAAGCCTATGATTGGTAAATCACAATGTATATATGATAATGTCTTTTTAACATGGCAGAGTTAGATAAACATAAGTATGACTTCATATTAATTATATAAATCTAATATAAATGATGAAAGTAACAAATAGGAAAGGTGAGAAACTGATATAATTAACACAAATTGCAAGTACAAAGATGGAAAATAATTAATTTGCTCCTATGAATGTTACGAATTCTGCCGTACACCTAAACTAACGCTCACTTGATCAGTATGAGGTTCACAACAAACTACTAATCACAGAATGAGCATAGTACTGGTGCACAATAAACTAGCTACCGCTAGCGGCATAAATCATTATAATTACTGCCCAATTGCAACATGATCAATGCCCTCAGCACAGTGGGGCAACAACCACAGCCCAAGAACAACCTGATCAATGCCCTCTTAAGCATACCTTTGTACTTTTGTAGGCTCAGTTTTGTGCTTCACAATAAGGTGAAGATTTCCATAAGCCGGTGCTGATTATTTTAGTATTGATCTTACACATGACGTTTAGATTGTCTTGAGTATTATATATCATGGTGGCCTAGGAGTGACAGAATAATTATGAATTAAATGTTTCTATTTGTCAGTGAACAACTGTGGGTCGTAGCTTAAAGTGGTCTCTGGTGAAAGGCAGAACTTACCCCGGGGAGGTATATCACACACTGCCGTCTTCACGTTGTTGGGGATCCACTCCACAAAGAAGGAACTGTTCTTGTTCTTCACGTTGAGCATCTGTTCGTCCACCTCTCTCATCGACATACGGCCCCGGAACACAGCCGCCACGGTCAGGTACCTGCACAATGGCTGCCTCGAATGATGTTTACCCAAATTTACCCAAGGGCTACTAACACTAGTGGCCTCGAGGATGACAGGAAGCCGGTGGCTTGTCGAAGGTTCCCCACCCCTATTTGCCTCGTTTGTAATGCTATATTGTTAATGCTTATTAATATCCATATATACCTGTATCTGGGAATCGAAGTAGAATTTACATTATATATATATATATATATATATATATATATATATATATATATATATATATATATATATATATATATATATATATATATATATATATATATATATCTTTGAATACTGATACGATTTATTCCTGTATCTGTGACTCTAGGTACATTTTATGAATGGTTTCCCGTATTTAAACCCATTCTTAGGATACTCTCAAGAAGACATTTGATATATGTTCGAATTCAGCTTTCATGACTTCACATTCAATTGACATACGTCTACAAAAAGTTCGCAACTCAATAATAAATGCAAACGCGCTTAAATCTCTTCAAGCCATCGCTCAAGGTGTGGTTTAATATTCAAAACCCGAGTGCCAGTAATCTTAGGCTTCCATAGTTTAGACTCTTGAGCCAACATACACCCACAGTGTGAGGCACTTGGGCCAGTATGTAGACACACACACACACACACACACACACACACACACACACACACACACACACACACACACACACACACACACACACACACACACACACACGGAGGGAGACATAAGGTACCTGCCGTTGCGGGGGTCACAGGCGCACATCATGTTCTTGGCATCAAACATCTGGAGAGTGAGGTCTGGGACGGACACGTTGCGGAAGGACTGGTTGCTGCGGGAGGTGAGGGGAGCGAACCCTGGCATGAAGAAATGAAGGCGGGGGAAGGGAACCATGTTGACAGCCAGCTTCCTCAGGTCGGCGTTCAACTGGCCGGGAAATCTGTGAGAATGTCACCTTATGTTCATGATAATACACCAATGATACTACATGTCCAGTCGAAGTCTACTGAACAAAAAACATGAAAAATGGAGACACCGATGTGCTTCCAAGCCAGCCTCTCACACTACATAAGCGGACAAAATAAGTATTATGTGTTTGAAATATAATCGTTAGAAATTAACGTTCTCCTGGACTAACGGAATCGGTTTCGTAAGGTCATCAGGGTAGTCGTCTGATGTCATCAGACTTCTGTACGTACTGGAAAATCTCAGAGATTGAACGCTTGAACGATTAAATTTGCGAGAACGGGTTGCCCTGAGAAAGGACTGTCCAGATATTGAATTTAATTATATTGAAATACTTGATTCATAAATGTTTGTTTTGTACATTTATCGTTTAGTTCATTTACACAGATTTACAGTAAATTATTTAGCTAAGAGAAAGCATACTAATAACATATGTAATATCTATAATTATAAACTGTATACTCAAGAATTATATTTAGATTTAGAAGCTACATTTATCAAGGATTTTAAAATCATTACAGTTGCCAAATTCAAAATCTGAAACTTTCCATAACATCTTATAGAAATCGTTACAATAATGGATGAACTAAACAGGTGTACATCAGTCTAAATCAAACTGCATTTTTGACTTAGAGTAACTTTCAGCTTATTTATAATAATAATGTATAACAATATATAAATATTAATTTTAAAAGATAATAATATAAAATATTCGCTATACTGGTAAGAACATATTTCTTGGAATTGGTTGTTCCTACAAATGAAGGCAGAGTTTTGAGAGACATATTAGAGAAATTAAGGACAAAACAAGTTAAGCAAGTACTAGCAGGGAGCAGGGTGAGGGCAAGAGGTAGGGGTCAGGTAGGGCACAGTGCCAATGAGACCTAGGTAACCCATCATTGTTGTCAAATCCCTTCTGCTCCAGATAACTTGGTCTAATAGGTGAGAAACCAACAGCCACCGCAATAGCCTGGAATTTCCTGTTTTAACAATCGAGGTGGGGTCCCTCGATTGTTTCAAGCGCGGGTTGGACATGTATATGAGTGGGATTGGGGGGTTATAGATAGGAGCTGCCTCGTATGGGCCAATAGGCCTTCTGCAGTTGCCTTTGTTCTTATGTAACAAGTCTGGGTCTGTTTTAATCTGACACCTGTATATACGGGCAGCACAAAACGAGTTATATAGCAATGACTATCCTCAGGTTGGGCTGCTGTTACCTGTGGGGAATAGCTGCAGGTAACGACTCTCACTATCCTGAACTCTCTAGTGTAAACTCTGTGAAACAAGAACTGGGTCATACTTTATAAATACTGTTTGAGAGAGTATTGAACATTATACCATTAGACCTCGTCGACCTGCTGGCATGAGATACCTGGAACTCTACAACTGCGATATTCATTTTATGTGCGCAAAGATACCTCATAATTTACCTGAGTCATAATCTCTCTAGTGGCCTCGACGAGGACAGGAAGTAGACGGTCACCCCCATTGTTCCTAAGAACTTTTTCCAACCGGATTTTGAACCGTCTTGGCACTTACGGCATCGGCGGGTAGGCGTTTCCATGGGGTTTATTACCCTATGGGTGAAAACGCAGCTCCTGTTTTTTATTCTACACTATAGCTTGTTGAGCTTGCAGCTGTTGCCTCTTGTATGCGTTACATTAGGATAGGTCGTTAGGTTAAGTACATTCTTGCGGAGCCGCTAATACGCATGAGGCGGGAATGGATGTGCTCGAGTGGGGGGTGTTGAGGAGGGGGTAGAGGTGCTAGGGGGTGCAAGAAGGAGGGCACAAGTAGGGGGTACCTTAAGCAGGTGGTGACGCCGGACATGGTCAGGGAGACGAGGTGGTTAAGGTCACCGTAGGTTGGGGTAGCCAGCTTGAGCGTGCGGAAGCAGATGTCGTAGAGTGCCTCATTGTCGATGCAGAAGGTCTCGTCCGTGTTCTCGACCAGCTGGTGCAGCGAGAGGGTCGCGTTGTACGGCTCCACCACAGTGTCTGACACCTGCACCACCACACTGGTTACTGCCATTATCTTGTATCTTCAACACTTATTGCAACCCTTACAACTTCCGCACTTGTCACCTCCCTACACCCCCCTCCACTAGTCATTCCTCCTACACACCACACACCAACACTTGTCACTCCAATATATTCTCCACTACTTCTTATCAACCAATTATCCACGTATCACGATACTCAACATCACACCAACACGGGAATTTATGAAATTTGTGGAAGATATTGTAAAATCTATAATAAAAGCTGTAACAAACTAGGCTGTTGTAAGAATTATCCAGAGTGGTTTATCGACAAAAGAGAATGGGAAGCTGAGCCCGCATGGTGACCTGACCCCCAGGGGAATTCGCGGTGGAAATAACCGACGCTTTGTTCATAGCTGCGTATAATGAATCATCCTATAGTATTCAGTAATTTAGAGAAAATTAGCCTTTATTCATTTTGCATTAAAATTGTATTGTATAATAGTACTGGATACAATATCAAGAGTATTCTAATTATTGAGTTTAAGTCACCATCAGTGACGTCATGAATCAGATCTAACTTTTAAGGCGGAGTGACCGGCGGTCATAGGTCAGTAGGGTTGACAGGTCTACTATTTCTCAAAGTTTTAATAACCATTTTTGTGATCGGGAACAGCTCTGCCGTTAGATGTTTGTGTAATTTAATTCAGTAAAATAATTCAACCAGTCTGGATCAATTAAGTACAACAGAGTTTAATTGTTATAACTTAACCTTGCTAAAGTAACTGGGTAAGCGATGCGGACCAATACAATGTTCTAGTCTGGGGTAGACCAGACAAGGAAGAGATCAGTGTGAATACGGGAGCAGCTGGGAGAGGTCAAACATCTTACCTCTCCCCAAGACCAGCCAACATCTAGAGCTGGTCGCCCAAGGTATAGTTGCTATGGTTATGTATAGAAATAGTCTCATTTGCCACTCAGGTCAAGTAGGGAGTGTTAAAGTGATAGGGAGTGAACATTTTTAGATTTTGTTTTAGTTTTCTTTTAATAAATTAAATTTGTTAATAATTTGCATTTTTATTGTCTCCATTTGGTTATGTGTATACTTGTCCTGGTCACGTGGTCCACACGAGGCAGAGTTGTATTGGGCGCCGATTCTAACATCGAATCGGAATTATCATTACCGTGTAATTTATTCCACACTCAAGGTCATCGTTTATAGTGGGGATCAAGCCCCAAGGTTGATTAATTAGCGTGATCGATCCAGACCTCGATCATTGCTCTTGTGTTACTGGTCTGGTGGTGGCAGCATAGAGGCGACTCTAGGGTTTGCTCAGAGCCTAGGTCACGCCATACTGGGTGTAGAATCCTAAGTCGGTCAATCGTCTTAGGACCACGTGGCGTGGAGTTGGCTTTGGTAAAAGTTTTGGAGTCCCTTGGTAGAGAATAAAAAGTAAGAATACGGGTAGAGGGAGTAGAAGGTAGATAAGTAGAGTGTGGAAACCTAACCAGTTACAAAGCGATAAGATATATAGAAATGTAGATGAAAAAGTGTGAATAATTGAGCGGTCTTTTAGACATCAAGTTAACCAATGACAGACTGTGGAAGGCTCCAACACCACCAAAGGGTATCCTGGTCTTGTGGCAGGGCGGAGGACAGCTGAGCACCCCAAACAAATTACGAAAGTGACGAGGTGTTGGTCTAGGCACTCAAGAAAATGTTTCAGAAGGTGAATGAAAAAGAACCAGAGTGAAAACGGCATCAGTATTGTAATTGAGTCACCTCAGAGAAGGTAAATAAACACCTAGAGGAAATAGACTTAACATATATAGTAGAGTGAGATCAGGTATCACTATGGCTGCTGAAGGAGGCTATGGGGTACTTTGTTCTACGCTAACTAAGATTTTCAATAAACCACTCGAGACTGGAGAACTCCCAGAAATCTAGAACAAAACAAAAGCAGTTAAAACGTTTTAGAAACGAAACATACAGGAATTTTAAAAACTCAAAATGTCCCTGAGACCGCTCCCCACAGTAGGCTAGTGAATAAGACGTAAAAAACTGGGATAACTGAACTGAGTATGAAAGTATCTGATGAACAGGAAATAAAAGGGTCAAACTCAAGAGAAGAGGTGCTGGCTTACTGTCCTAGTCTATGTGAGTGATCTTCCCGAGGGAATGTAAAGCCGAGAAAGACTGTGAAGTGTTGCAGGAAGACAGTAACAAACAGTAGGAGTTAGATTTCAAATGACAAATGAGTTAGATTTCAGTCCTGACAAGGGTAAGGTAATGAAGCTGGCAAAGGATGGAAGAAGATCAAAAGGAATGTATACTATACGCGGCAGGCAAATGCAGGAGTCAGAACAACGCTTCATACACCATACACAAGCACTTCTCCCCCCCCCCAAATATACCAAAAGAAACTCCCCGTCACAGCAGTAATTATAATGCGTGTTTCGTGTAAATTAATGTTTCTTTGTCGATTTAACCTCACAGGAAGATTAATGTCTTACTGCATGTTATTAAGCAACACTTATTTATAATTAAATATAATGTTTTTCAGAGTTGAGAGTATTTTATAATAATGCATTATTATGGCAACAGTTCCTTACGTCCTTGGAGATAATGCAGGCATGCTAACCACCATCCAACTAACCTGGCATAAGAAGCTGCAGTATTTAACAAGCTTGACAGGGGGGACGTACTGGGCAGTAGGTGTACCTGGAACTGGACAAATCTGACAAGGGACTTACCTGGAAGAGAGCAATCCTGGCAAGGAACTGGGCCGGAACAAGCCAGGAATGAGATTGAATATAAGAGAGAATATACCTGGCAGGGGCGCTTGGCTCACCGCTCCTGTGCCAGGTAAGTCCACTATGGGCTCACCTCAGAGAAGTCACCTCAGATAAGGAGCCCGTGCTACTTGCCCCGCTCCTGTTCCAGGTGAGTTATTGGCTCACCATAGCCCGTGCTACTTGGAACTTGTTCCGAGTAGCTGAATCTATAACAACAACAACAACTGGCAGGGGACGTATTTGGCAGGTGGCGTGGGACTGCAGGGAGTTCGCCTGACAGGAGACGTACCTTGGGGCTGGGCACGACGGAGAAGGTGTTCATGATGCGGTCGGGGAATTCCTCGCGGACCTTGGAGACGAGGAGAGTGCCCATGCCGGACCCTGTCCCTCCACCTAACGAGTGGACCAGCTGGAATCCCTGCAAGACACACACATTACGACACCTACAACACCCAAGCTCACATTAGTTCACATAAAACACGCACACGCATATTAGAACACCTGCAACTCACGTTAATACACCTGGGCTGCAAACGGTTAATATATCCGTTACATGCACGAACATACAGTAATCAACGCATGTTATTATGTTTGCATTGCACAAATATACAGTACTTTGCTTCTCGGAAAGACAGACATAAACACTAACAGTCGCTCAGGCTAGCGCGTGGTGGCGTCCAATGATCAACATCGTCTAGGACAAGAGATCTAGCGAGTGAGGAAGGCAAGGAAGATAAGACAGCAGACAAGGAGAGTTCACAATGAGAAGTGCAAAAAACATAAACAAAAACTCTAGAGGTGTGAGACTTGTATACTGTATCACAATAATTAAAGGAATTACTGTTGCCATTGTTTCTACACACACATACACATACACATACAACCCTCCCCTTCCCTACACATATATATAAACCCCTGACATACTTGTGTAAAGGAGGAAATGTATATGTTTATCTCTCAGAATGTTCGGTAATACGTTTATTGCTTGTGATGTGTGTCTATGTATGTATTAACACGATGTACTGAACGGGGTGAGAATAGCTTGAGCTACCTCATCCTTTTGTGTGTATTTTACCTCAATAAACTTATTTCAATTTCAATCCCCTGACACACACACACACACGGGGACACGTCATATATATATCAGTGCCCAAAAAGCGCTGATCGAGCACTTGTACCCTATTGCTAGACCTCAGACATAAACTCCATCAAACCATCAATCCATCCACATGTCTAAACATACAAACCTGGAGACACTACCGTATGGGCCATCTGTGGGAATAGTGCCTCACAGTACACTGTACCTGGACAACACAAAAAATGGTTTGCCTCGGGCACGTACCTGAAGACAGTCGCAGTTTTCAGACTCCTTCCTGATGCTGTCGAGGACGGAGTCAACGAGCTCTGCGCCTTCCGTGTAGTGACCCTTGGCCCAGTTATTGCCTGCGCCACTCTGGCCTGCCCGCCAACACACAAATGTTTTTTGTTTACCATTCCATACTCACGCATAGAGTTCATATAGCAATTAAAGCCTATAGAAACCGCGAAACTATAACCGTTCACAAATGATTGGGATGAAGTGATGTTAAATTACGGGTTCCGAACTCTCGTTGATGAAGGAACTGTGCACAAATACAGAGGGAAGAATGCAAATGCAGCGGCTGCTTACCGAAGACGAAGTTATCAGGCTTGAAGAGTCCTCCATAAGGGGAGGACCTGACGGCATCCATGGTGCCGGGCTCCAGGTCCACCAGCACCGACCGAGGTACGAAGCGACCACCTGCGGATCCAACACAAGACCTCCGTGAATATTTCATATCTGTGCTGCACATTATACAAAACAAGTCACATTATACAAAGCAATTCTAATGTGAGGATGTTGAGTTTGCTTCCCCTTGTCGTTGTTATTGTCTCTCACTGACTCTTGGGAGGCTGAGTTAGACATACCTTCTGGAGACGTGATGAGTCAGACTGACCTGAGGCCTCGTTGTGGTAGACATTGATTCGCTCCAGCTGTATGTCGTGGGTGCCGTTGTAGAGGCCCGTGGGCTCTATCCCGTGCTCATCGCTGATCACCTCCCAGAACTGTCAATCATACGACGGTGTTAACACGAGGCGGCGATACACACGTCGAACACTTTATGTAGGGCAGACGTAACTCTGTGTATCTATGTATTTATGTCTGTAGGTTAGGTTAGCATTTTAAAAGCACTACAATCACCTTCTGTGGTTGATTGTTCAACAAATCCCTGAACTATATGTTTAACAGATCTCTCATCCTGTCCATGGAGGACAGAAGAAAATGTATATATTGTGGTTAGCATTGTAAATGTGTGGCCACGTCTGTGGTAGAAAATAATAATAATAAAAGACTAGTCCCTATATAGTGTTATTAACCTGTACTGGAAACATTTACCTTATCTCCCAGAAAGCTCGCAAGGAAGATAAGAAGGCAAGGAAGTTCGCTTGCGCTGTTTTTTGACATTGATGAGATATCGACGGCATCATTATTATCATCTCCAACTGCTGATAACCAAGCCGGTGATGATGCTTATTTGGTAAAGTTAACACTCACATACTCCAATAAACATTAACCTTACAGAGCACTAAGTCAAGTTTCTTTAGTGAAATACAATTATAGGAGTTTGCTATGACAGAAGGGATAACTCAGATGATGAACAAAGAAAGAGTAAGTTTAGATGAATAAACTAAGAACATAGGAAACTATAAGAAAACCCTATTATTTGATCAACTAAAAACAAATTCAGTTTATGGAGTGCCAGCCAGAGAATGTTTTAAATTTATTTCGTCTTTTGTCATTATATATATATATATATATATATATATATATATATATATATATATATATATATATATATATAAAGTGATGGAAGCTAAAATTCCGGACTTTTGGAGAATTTTTATAATTCTTCCCTGACGAAAATGTTGACACATGAATTCAGGACATGTTTTGGAAAATACGGACGTAAGGCCACCCTAAACAATAAGGATGAGTGAACATAAAATCAATTAGCTGTAAAGACATGATATCAAGATCACTATCATAAAGATAGTGTCAAAAAATGGAATAGGAATGCTGTCTACTGAGACAACGATGTGTATTGAAGGTTACTGTGATATATCAAAGATGGCGTCTGCTGCATAACGCCCATGTCAACTGCCTCTTGGTTTGGGACAGAGTCTCATCCCGACACTGTACAGGCAGCTAAATAATGCAACGCAGAAGGTTTAATTAAGTTATTAACATATTCTCTACGCACATAAAGTCATTTAGACCCGGCGACGTTTCGGTCCGTCCTGGACCATTCTCAAGTCGATTGTGCCTTCACGTCATCGTCCCTTCATTTTCTAGTGTGTGGTCTGGTCAACATACTTCAGCCACGTTATTGTGACTCATCGCCTGCATAATCCTGCAGAGGCTGTGACGACTGCCTGGCCCACTCACCAGCATCACACCGTGTAAATGTCAACACTGGTGCCTCGTCCGTACAACTGCCCGGTGCAGTCCCCATCAAACCAACCAAATTGGAAATCAATAGTATTTATCAAAGTCGGAATTTATATGCAAACGAAGTGTATGAAATGGCCGTCACTTGTGAGAAATGTATGACGGCCATTTCAACAATTGAGGAAACATCTGTGTAAGCCCATACGTGACTCGCCCTCACCTCCTGACCCCAACACGAAATCAATTATGATAAATAATTCACCCAGCATGGCAACGGTAAGTTTTAGCGCCGGGATTTCTTGCGCGCGCGTGTGCTTACCTTGCTGTTTCTAGGGGAAATATGATCTAGTTGTCGAGCCCAGCCTTATAACTACGCACGTGATGCATCTATGTTTTCCTACCTTTCAGCACAGTCATACTTGTTCTTAAAACTGTGATTGGTGGTTGGTCTATTTTGGTGGTGGTGAATGGTGGTTACCCCATATTTTTCCAGTCTAGTCCGTTTGTTACTCACTGCATACGACTTCTTCCCTAAATTTAGTTGGCTCATCTCTGTTTACAAGTGGGCCTGTGTCCCCTCACTCTGTTATCCATCATTTTGGAAAACGACTATCTCTATTAATTTTGCATATTTTACGTTGTTATCATATCTCCTCGTTTACTTCTTCTGTCGCCTGTAATCATAACTTATATATCATATGTCTGGTACTTATCGCGTGGCACATCTCTGGACCTTCTAAACTGTCTCCCTTTACATTACCAGGTGTGTGTTCCCTGCTGGAGCTGCGTGTTGTGTGAATGGTCTAACATGTGTCATGTGTTGAAGCAGACGCTTGTGTGTTGTAGCAGCTTCCTGTGCAGCCCATCATCCTAACGTTTCAGAACGTCAAGGAAACTGTAAATTTAAAGTGTCCTTTCCTAACCTACCAGAGGGACCCAAAACAGAAAACGGGACAGTACGTCACGTTCGCGAGCCATTTCCATTTGTTTAGTACAAAAGTTTTTGGCCTTTGGCATACGAGCGAAAAGCGACGTTTTTTGTGGGAGGACAAGTTGTCTGTGTGTTATAGCAGCTATAGCCCCCCCTCGGTATGTGTTATCGTACGTCTGCAGGTGTGGAGTGGACGTTGCAGTGTCAAGATATTGATCAGCCTCAAGCATGTCCCTCTGGAGGAATAATCATCATTCCATATTGCTCACTCAGACACGGACTCCTCGAGTGGTCATTCCCTCGCAAGCAAGACTGGCGCCTTAGTGTTACACACACTAAGGGTACACGCACGCATGATCACAGGGATGACATGGCAGAGATAGATGAGAGGTTCGTCAGGATAAACGAAGGGATGAGGAAGTATGAGTCATAGTCACGTGATGGAAGCTCTTATTGAAGTGCGAGAGTTGGGAATAAGTTGAGTTAAAATCAGGTGTAAATTAGACGCAACACAGAAGAGCCAAGAGTCGTTGACTTAGTGGCCAACGCCAGAAAAGGTGGAGTTCAAGAATTTTATTCAAGTACAGTTCGATAGGCACATGTACAGTGTTATTAAACACGTTCATCATATTTATGTTTTGGTAAGAATATTTAGGTACTGAGGATGAATCTTAAGGTCCTCTTCGACCCCCAGCCAGGGGTATCATCATACTTAACAACACATCAGTTTACGTGGAGCGTAACTTAAACTAGGAGTCACAATGCTTCCAGAAGCTCAGGAGTCACTCATTGGCTGCTACTTGTGATGTAACTGGCTCCACCTACGTCTCATGAATGTGGGTGGAACTAGTATGGTGTTCTCGTTCCCAATATCACTTAGATGATACACGTTCTATGAGAGTGGTTGTGTAGGATACTGACATTAGCGACGTCGGTGGTACAGGCGGCTGGAGACGCCGCACCCAATAACCTTCATCTTGCTACAGTGGCTGTTCATGCACGTGAATAAAGTGTTATTACCCACGGTATTGTGGATTGGATTTTATACAGTGGCTTGTTGCCGTGTCGTCTAAAAAAAGCATATAAACAGCATCTGTCTGTGTGAAAATAAAGGCAGCTGGATAAAGCAAAGACACTTAACAAGATGAGCGATTACTGAGGTTTCGCTTAAGTCTCACAATGGTACACACCTCAGGCTTATTGTTAGAGCGGAGGTTGGGTGAGGTAGGAGAGGTGTTGAGAGGGGTGGAGGGAAAAGGTGGGCCCAGAGATTAATGTTTTTAACGCAGGTATTCATTCATACATTTTGAGAGAAAGTTTCTGAGGACGCGGCACGATGCTGATAACTTCCTGATGATATTCAATGGTATTTTGCGTCTGTATCACCACTGCTTCTAGATATCTATTAGTCTGGCCCGACTTATATAATAACTACTAGCTTGGCTTTTTTTTTACATCTTTATCGCGATGAATGACGCCTGCTGTGTTTGGGCTACGAGTTGGGCTACCATTTTCATCACCACCACCACCACCACCACTACGACTACCATCATCACCACCACCACACTCACTACTACCTGTACTTTGTCTCAGCAGTACAAAGACAAAGAGCCTGGTAAAGAGTACCAGGCGTGTCCTACTTGTCAAGGTACACACAGGAGAGAGCTGGAAACGTTAATGAGTCGAAGAAATGTAAGGAAATACTCGCACCCTGTACGGGTGTTCAACAAATAGAATGCACTAAAAGAAGTTGTGGAAGCCACCTCCGTACACAACTTTAGGACCAGATTCGACGAAGATTTCAAACGTAAGGATAGTTAACTTACAATAGATAAACCAAGTACAGTAAGCAGGAAATTCTAGACCTTACGTCCCCGTAGTGAGTAACGTGTGTGTTCCAATAGTTCCCACCTTAATCTTCAAAGTTCTTTTATCTCGGATTTTCACCTTTATATTTTGGACATTTTCTTGTATTTCATTCACGACACATTTCTACAACACTATAAAAACAGTTCTGAATGTCTTATCCCAGTTTGCAATCTTCAGAGTACAGTACAGCTGTACACTCTGTACCTGGTACAGTACAGCTGAACACTGTACCTAGTACAGTACAGACCGCTTGTTCTGACCTTGGATGATAAAAGTTGGTGGGGTACATTAGTATTGATCCCCCTAACTAGTGCTTATGGAAGGGTCCCTGGTGGACGGAACTGTAATGAGGTAATTGGTCGTGATGATAGTTCTCAAAGGTTTAGCCACAGTGTTCCAACGCACTGTGAGAGAGAGCGAGAGAGAGAGAGAGAGAGAGAGAGAGAGAGAGAGAGAGAGAGAGAGAGAGAGAGAGAGAGAGAGAGAGAGAGAGAGAGAACGAGAGAGAGAGAGAGAGAGAGAGAGAGAGAGAGAGAGAGAGAGAGAGAGAGAGAGAGAGAGAGAGAGAGAGAGAGAGAGAGAGAGAGAGAGAGAGAGAGAGAGAGAGAGAGAGAGAGAGAGAGAGAGAGAGAGAGAGAGAGAGAGAGAGAGAGAGAGAGAGAGAGAGAACGAGAGAGAGAGAGAGAGAGAGAGAGAGAGAGAGAGAGAGAGAGAGAGAGAGAGAGAGAGAGAGAGAGAGAGAGAGAGAGAGAGAGAGAGAGAGAGAGAGAGAGAGAGAGAGAGAGAGAGAGAGAGAGAGAGAGAGAGAGAGAGAGA